TTGGCCTTCAGTTTCACTTGTCTGTAACACAGACAGACGGATATTAGCTCAGACTCTACTTCTGGCACATAGGTTTTCCCAGGGTGGCCAGGAAGAATATAGGGTGGGACTTTGGCATCATCTGATTTCATACTGTGCTGCTGCCCCTTCCTTATCAGCTCCTGGCCCACCACTCCAGGGGCTGTCAGCCTCCTTCCGGCCCCAAGAGCCCCAACCACAGCTGCATTCATTCGTCCTAATAAAGCACCACAGACTAGAAGTCCAAGATCAAAGTGTCAGCAGGTTTGGCTTCTCCCAAAGCTTCTCTTCATGGCTTGTAGATGGCTGCCTTCTCGCTGTGACCTCACATGGCTTTTCCTCTGTGTCCCAATTTCTTAGGACCCACCCTACCAACCTCAATTTAACCTAATTACCTCTTCAAAGGCCCTATCTTATAGTCCCATTCTGAGGTATGGGCGTTAGGGCTTCAACATACGAATTGGGGGGGCACAACTAAGCCCACAGCAGGCCTCCACAAAGTTCCTCTGATCGGATGGCTTTCCCTCTCCACAGGAGGTCAGAGCCTGGCTGTGGTCCAAGCCTTTCTTCTTCCCTTGACAGCCTCTCCCTTCCAGTTATGCCCTCTGCCTTCCCAACAGCCTGGGATGAAGAGGGGCAGGGGCTTCCTTGCTCAGCCAGTCATGGGTATTTCGTGTCCCATCCAGTGTCCACTCGCGGGGGATTTGGCTTTCTCATGTTCTTCCTGGCTAGCATCTTTGAGCTCTCCCTTTCCTAGCCTTCAGACTCTTCTCTCTCACCTTAGAAGAAACCTTAGCTTGACATTCCTCTTCTGTCACCCCATTTCTCTCTGTCGCTTTCACCTCTGAAATTCTGGATGGATTAGTTGACTCCCCACCTGTTTCCTTAGAATCTCCTCTGGAGTGACTTCCGACACCCCTGTCCCACTGCACCTGCCCTCTCCCACACCACCCATCACTCGGTGCTGGTCATACCTAAAGCTCACTTCCCAGTGTCCTTTGTCTTCTGCCCTTGGCTACAGTGGCTGTCCTTCTGCCTCTCGGAATCCTTCCACAGCCCCTCTCCTTCATCCCAGCTCCTCACGTGGGCATCGCCTGGGATCAGACCCTGGCCCCTGCTCACCTTCACTGCATTCTTTTCCCCAAAGAGCTAACCCATATCAGTTTCCATGATATTCCATCGTTGATCCTAAAATCTTTCACTTCCAATCTCCACCAACCTTTCTCTGATCTCTGAATTCTGATCCTGGGCTTTTGCCTACATACAGATTAAATTCTTTCATCCACCACTTTCACTCTCACCAAGTCAAACCACGTCTTTCACTCCCAAATTCCATAATCTATCAATATAATTTTCCCCATTTATCCAAGCAAGAATTCTCTAAGGAGTATTTGTACCTCCCTCTTGTTTTAGCCCCTACTTTATTTAACTTTTCCTCTGTCTCTTATTTATATCTTCTGCTTCTCTCCAAAGAAAAGAAGCTGCCTTTACCCAAGCTGGTCCTGTGTGACCAGTTCCTTCCAAGAGTATGGCAGTAGCTTCCTAATTGGGTGTCCTTGTCCCCAGGGATTGTAGAGACCGCCAGATGTCCTCTAGCCCAGTAAGACTGAGGACAAAGACCCAACTCTCAGACTTGGCATCCTACACCAGCACTGTCCAATGCAACCTTCTGTGACGATGCCATGTTCTATGTCTGCACAACATGATAGCCACTAACCACATGTGGCTACTGAGCATTTGGAATGTGACTAGTGTGACTGAGGAAATGAATTTTTAATTTTCTGGGATTAAAATTGTCATACTATCTTCACACCACTGCTCTCTAATCCCAGCTTTGTGCTCTGGCCAACCTCCACCAAACATCACCCCGGTTCTCAGCTCATAGCCACTCCCTGTCCCTGAGCAATGGGACGGCGCTGCTCCCTTCTCTAGTCCAGATCTTCTCTAGTCCTCAGGCCCATCCTGTGCCCCAGCCTTTAACCCTTCCTAACCATCTCCTTTCCCCCTCATGTGAACAGCCATGTCATGTGGCTGGATAAATTTATTTTTTAAACTTTCTATTCAACTTCTAATTTGAAATAATTTCAGATTTATAGGAAAGTTGCAAAAATAGTACAAATAAATCTTGTATACCCTTCACTCATATTCTCCAAATATCAACATTTTACCATGTTTGCTTTATATTTTGTCTCTCCCTCTCTTTTTCCATCTCTCTTTCCCACTACACACACACACACACACACACACACACACACACACTTTATAAGCAGTTTGAAAGTAAGTTGCACATATGTTGTCCTCTGCACCTAAATTCTCTAGTGTATATTTCCTAATAACAGTCTCTTATAAAAGAACAGTTGGGAGATCAAAACACAAAATTAGCACTGATAGAATACTATCTATCATCTAATTTATTGGACTTAGTAAAAATTTTCCAGCTGTCCTATAAATGTCCTTTATGGCAAAAGAAGAAGGCCACGTGTCTTGACATTTAAGCTCTTAAAGACAAGTCCTGATTTCTACATTTGGTTGGTTTTCTCCTCAGTACCCGGGCTAGTAGTCTGTAACTGATTGGCCCTGTACATAGTAGGCCCTCAGTAAGTCTTTATGAGTTGAATGGACAGATCAATGATGGTGACAAACTAGGGTGAACTTGATGGAGGCAGGCCTCTCCCTGGGCTCAGCCACGTAACTGGCAGCCAATGCTCCGTGCTCTCACTGTGCTTCTGTCAGGGACCAACTGCTTACAGGATGCTCTGGGGTTCCCAGGTGGGTAGCAGCACTCCTCCCGTTTTACTGATGCACAACTGACAGCCCACAGAGTTATCTGACTTACCTGTGGCCACAGAACAACTCCGTGCCCAAGCCAGGGCATAGTGCTGCTTCTCTGTAACATACAGAGGCAAAACCCCGCTCATTCATCCAATAAATAGTTATCGAGTGCAGCTGTGTGTCGGCACATTGGGTTCACAGCTTATACTTTAGGGCAGTGGTTCTCAACCTTGACTGCACATTAGAATCACCTGGGAATCTTTTTAAAATTCTGATTTCCAGGCCTCATCCTCCAGAAATTCTGTTTCTTTGTTATGGGGTGGGGCCACAACATTAGCAACAAAGAAACAGAATTTCTGGAGGATGGGGCCTGGAAATCAGGATTTTAAAAAGATTCCCAGGTGATTCTAATGTGCAGCCAAGGTTGAGCACCACTGCTTTAGGGGGAGGCCAAGGGCAAGCAATAAATAAATAAGTAAATAGTTTGTACATGGTGATAAGTGCCCTGAGGGAGATAAAGTGGGGTACACATGATAAAGAGTGCTAGGGGTATAGGGTTGATATTTGATATAAAGTGGTTAGGGAAGATCTCATTGGTTAAATGACTTTCCTCCATTTTTTTGTGTTAAGGTATAATTTACATACATTAAAACTTACCCATTCTAGTGCACAGTGCTGTGAACCTTGACAAACGCTTACAGTCGTGTAACTACCATCACAGTATAATATGGTTCTAGCACCTCAAAACATGCCCCTGTGCCTCGCCCTGGTCTGGTGGCTCAGTCAGTTGGAACAAAAAAGGTTGCAGGGTCGATTCCCAGTCAGGGCACTTATCTAGGTTGTGGGTTTGATTCCTCTCTCCCTTCCTCCTTTCTTTCTTTTTTTAAAAATATATTTTAGTGATTTTTTTTACAGAGAGGAAGGGAGAGGGATAGAGAGTTAGAAACATGGATGAGAGAGAAACATCGATCAGCTGCCTCCTGCACACCTCCTACTGGGGATGTGCCCGCAACCAAGGTACATGCCCTTGACCAGAATTGAACCTGGGATCCTTCAGTCCGCAGGCGGACGCTCTATCCACTGAGCCAAACCGGTTAGGGCCCTTCCTCTCTTTCTAAAAATCAATAATGAAAAAAAAAATGCATATTCTCCGGTGAGGATTAAAATAAACAAAAACATATCCCTGTGCCTCTTAGTGGCCAACCCCTCCACCACCCACCTCTGGCAAGCACTAATCTATTCTCTGTCCCTTTCGAACATGTAATGGAAATAGAATTATACAGTACGTAGCCCTTGATTTTGGTTTCTCTTAGCCTAAGAGATAAATCACCGATGAGATTCATCCATGCTGTATATCTGTACTTTGCTTATTTTATTGATGAGTAGTATTTCATGGTATAAAGGTACCACAGTTCATCCATTCTTCAGTTGAGTTTATTTGGATAACTTCTAGTTTTGAACGATTATAAATAAAGCCACTATAAACATTCACATTCAGGTATTTGTTTGCATGTTAGATATTCATTTCGCTTGGATAAATAGGTTAGATAGCTTTTGAGCGGAGACCTGAAAGAAATGAGAAAACAAGCCATGAACATAGCTGAAGATATTTTTGCCTATTTACCACATTGTTATTTAGCCAAATGAATAGGTTTGTGCTGAAAAACTGGTCTGTTTGGGTCATTTTTAAAATATGAGTTGTTTGGCAGTGGGAATGGAGGAGACCATTGGTTAGTTCATTCATTTGTTCATTCATTCATTGATCCATTCAACAAAGATGTAAAAAATGAAAGCCACCAGTCCACAGTCTGCGACCCAAAGGAAGCCTGAGACCCTTGGATCCACACCAAAGGCTAATTTTAGTTGGTTTATCTGACATAATTTCCTTTCTGAGTTTCCTGAAAGTTGGGGTGAGAGAATAGGGAGTAAGTTTGGGTATGGTCATTGAAATGGATAATAGAGGCTAAAGCATTGTTCAGTTTTTCTCTCAATGGAGGCCTCAGGGACCCCCTTCAGAGGCCCCCAAGTCCTGATATTCATTTGATTGTGAGGTTGTCTGTGTGAGATGGCAAGATCCCCAGAAAGACACACAGGACTGAGGGCTCTGCCTGGATGAAGGGCCAGTGGGCAAGACAGCGCCCTCCTAGGATTCAGGAGCTTTGGGAAACACAGAACTGACAGAAAGTAACCCCTGAACTTCTTTGTTTTAGGTGATGCAACTGTGAAAAAGAAACCTGCTCCCAAGACACCTCTAAAAGCAGGTAATTGGTCGTAGCAATGTGTGGGGGCAAAGGAGTCATCTGCCAGGAGGGGTTTTTCGTTGTCCTGCTAGCCTGACCACTGGGCATGTGGTCCCCTCGTTCAAGCTCAGTGTTATTCAGGCTGAACCTTCCCCCAGAGCCTCTGCATAGCTTGGTCCCCAGCTTCTCACTTACTTGTCTTTTCTCCTGCTTCCCCTGTAAGGACAGCATCACACAGTAGTAGTGACTCTCCCATCCCTTCTGCAAAATTCTGCTTAACCCTCTGCCCTTCACTCTGTCTCTAAGGAGGCGATCTGCTCTGTGCTGTTTAATGCTCTGCTCGGTCTGTCCTTGTCACATGGAATCTTGTCTGTTTCCATTGGAAGGCATTTGGGGACATGAACCATATTGAGCCTCTCAGCCAAGGTGACCTGGAGGTTAAAGAGCAAGGTGCTGTCTAATTAATAAAGGAGTTAGAATGTAGATTCAAAAAATTAGGGCAAGATACAAATTCCTGAGCTACCCACAAATGGAGAATAATGCCATGTCACTGTGTGGGCCACATCGAGGGAATCAGAATAAAGAGGTGAACAAACCTAGCAAGTCCACCAGCTCAGATGTTCCGAAGCAGTGACCACGTCCCTCAGTCTTACCCTGGAGGCTCCAGAGAGGAGCAGTAGACCGATGTGGATAGTAGTGTCGCATGAGATGGGCAAGTCTGAGGCTCCCTCCTCCTCACTCACCTTCTCGCCTGTCCCCTCCAGCCATGCCCCCCCAGATCATCCAGTTTCCGGAGGACCAAAAGGTGCGTGCAGGAGAGTCTGTGGAGCTGTTCGGTAAAGTGACAGGCACCCAGCCCATCACCTGCACCTGGATGAAGTTCCGAAAGCAGGTCAGTAAAGAGGGGGGTGGCCTGGGAACAGCCATGCAGCCTCTAGGCTGAAGGGGGTGGGAAATGCTCTAATGGAGACAGCATCACCCTCATCGCAGGGGCTTAGAAATGGGGAGCCCTCACCACTCACCACCCAGTCATCACAGCTGAGTTCTTAAAACAACCTTCCTTCCAAATCTACAAACAATACCTGCGTTATAGACTAGCTGTATAATAGAGACAAGTATGAAGGGAGCAATAGAAACCACCCTTGGTTCCCACCTGACTTCGATATCTCAGGCTAGAATTCTACTCAGAGTCAGGAAAATGGAACCACGAACCTAAATGACCTCTCAGCCCCTGTACGGGTTCTTCTGTGATTCTGTGCCAGCCTGATGAACCCAATCTGTGGGAACAGCTTAAACTTACCACATGCCGAAGGGATAAAAGTGAATCTGAGTATTTGGATAGATAAATTGTACGTAAAATAGAATTTTGGCTTGCTGGCCCAGAAATCACGCTACCATTTATAATCATGGCCCTATGGGAAAATGTTTGAAATTCCAAACAACCAGCTCGTAAAGGAACTTGGAGATCCCACACTGGCAGTGTGTGCCCAGATGCATGATCAACAGAGGCCCTGGGACCGTGGCTGGCACGAATGGGAAACTCTACAGAAGGAGTGAAGATTTCTTCTGAGCCCTCTGTTGCTCAATTTCCAAACCATCAAGTTGTCTTAAGGCCCCCAAATGGGAGGCTAGTACCAGGAAGGAAAGGAGGGTTGGTCTCAAAAGATAAAAAGGAGAAGCTGGCCTTTAGCATCCCAAAGCATGTAGCTCTGGACGATGTCTGGGCCAGTGTCGCCTGAAGTAGGGTAGAGTCTCATCCCTTCTCAGAGACATTTAGCCCCGGCTCAGCTCTGTCTCTTTCTGTAGTGATGGGAATGTTCTGTATCTGTTCTCCAATATGTAGCCACTAATCACATGTGGCTGTTGAGCGCTTGAACGGTGACTGGTGTAACTGAGGAACTGAATTTTAAATGTTAAGTGATTAAAAGTTATTATAATAGCTCTGTTGAGTTATAATTAACACACCACAAAATTCACTCTGCTAAACTCACCCTTTTAAAGTGGTTTTTAGTATACTCACAAGGTTGTGCCACCATAACAGTTATCTAATTCCAGAATATTATCAACCCACACAGAAGCCCCAGACCCATTAGCAATCACTTCCTCCCTCCCACACCCCCAGCAACCATTCGCCTACTTTCTGTTTCTATGGATTTGCCTATTCTGGGCATTTTATATCAGTGGATTTCTATAATGTGTTTCCTTTTGTGTCTGGCTTTTTTCCACTTAGCATAATGTTTTCAGGGCTCATTCGTGTTGTAGCACAAATTAGAACTTCGTTCTTTTTTATGGCCAAATAATTTTCCATTGTCTGGATGTACATTTGTTTATCCATTCACTGGTTGATGGGTGTTTGGGTTGTTTCCACTTAATTAAAAGGTAAATTGCCACATGTGGCTAGTGGCTATGGTTTCAACAGCACAGAAGAGGTCAGAACCCATAGGCTGGGCTTCATAAGTGACTTTGCTCAGATGTGCTCTCCCACCCTCCCATCCCAGGGTGGAGGAGGGAGACGAAGACACTTCTGAATTCTGATCTAGAGCAGCAACTGCAGAGTCCCTTCCCTGACCCTGCTCAGCACGCCCTGCCTGCCCCGGATCTGGACCCCACATGGAGGCTTGGCTCTGGAGGCAGCAGAGGAGGGTCTTGGGGGGGAGCCCAGAGTCCAGACCCACCCCACACAGCCACAGCCGTGCAGTGAGGAATGGGGGTCCCCCCCCCCTTCCCTGGCCCTCGTCTCCAGCGCTTGCCCACTGTCTGCCCGCAGATCCAGGAGAGTGAGCACATCAAGGTGGAGAACAGCGAGAGCGGCAGCAAGCTCACCATCCTGGCCGCCCGCCAGGAGCACTGCGGCTGCTACACGCTGCTGGTGGAGAACAAGCTGGGCAGCAGGCAGGCCCAGGTCAACCTAACCGTGGTCGGTGAGTCTGGGTGGGTGGCCTGGCAGTGGGGGATGGGAAGGGTAGAGAGCCCCCAGGCAGGATGAGGGACCTCAGGGTCTCACCTCCCAGGGACCTACTCCTTCTGCACCCATCCTCTCTGCCCACAGCCCCTCGGACTCCACTTTACTTCCCTCTCCCCAAGCTCACACGGTTGCTGTGCTTCATGCTCATGAGAACTCCAGATCCCACGTGCACACCCTCGCAGTGTCTTCCTCTCCCTGTGAGTCCCTCCTGGCTTCTCTCTTTCTGCTCTTCGGAGACCTGAGTTCCGCTGCTCCAGGCCTCTCCTACTGGCATGGCAACTCCCTCTCCCACTCTGCCTCCCCCGCCCCCAGCTCTGTCCCCTTGAAGTCTTCACCTTGGATCAGTGCCATCTTCCGGAAAAGGCACTGCTCCTCCTCCTGACTTTAGGGCATTGCAGGAAGATCCCATCAGTCCACAGTCTGGTCTCTGACAAGATCCAGGGTTGGCCGAGGCCTCAGTGCTGCTCAGTGCTGCTCAGTGCCCTCTCCCACTCTGAGGTAGCTTGTCACCCTGCAGGCTGAGGCCTCCAGCTTCTCAGGAAACCAGGAGGCATCAGGCCTGACCTTGCTCAGCTTCACGGCCCCGCACCTTCAGGCATCTCTTTGTCCACCCCCAGGCTGACCGCACCCTCCAGGCTCTGGACCTGGCCCACCCGTCTCTCCCTGAGGCCGCTTCCTTCTCCTGCACTCTGAATCCCCAGGCTCTTGGGGTTCCATCCCCTCCTCTCTTCTCTTCAACTCCACCTCTCCTTCTCTCATCTTAGCCAAACACACAGGCCTGCATGACTCCTGCAACACCGCGTCTCGCTTCAGCCACCCCACATCTCTTCCCGCTCTCTTCATGGCCAAACCCTCTGAGAGGGGGTGCTCTCTACTCTGCTTCTGCTTCCTCACCCCCAGGCACTCGTCAGCTCCCTGAAGCCTCCCTCCACACCCCAGGAGTCTACTGGGATCACCCCTCTAAGGTCACCGTGACCTCCTAATCCTAAACCCACTCCCTTTTTCTTATCTCCCACATCCCAATACTGGGCGGAGTCTGTCTCCAGGCTGTTTGTGAAGTTCACTTTTTCCTCTTTATCCCAGTTGCTGTGTTGATCATGCCATTGTCCACTCTCTCCTGAAACAGCCACTAGCTTTCTAATTGGTCCCCCACTGTTGGTCAAGCTCAGTTCCTTGCCCTCCACCCCCACCCCATTGGCAGGTGCTCAGGACAGAAAGGAAGAGATGACACAGCAGACTGATGGACAGTAGGCAGTGTCCCTGCACATTTGTGGGCCTCCATACATTATGCTCATGAAAGCCTTTGACCTGGGGTTTATTGATCTCATCTTTCTTTTGTTTCCTCAAATTGGGAGTTTAAATCTGGGAATCATTGTACCAGGAGTCAGAGAATAGGATTCTCATCTACAAAAGATGGAAGAGACCCTTTCTCACTCTTCTTCTCTTTGGTGACTCTGGATGCTTACTTCAGTAGTGTCCCCCGTGGAGTCAGGAACTTGGGGGTGGGGGGTGGGGGGAGGTTGGTGCTAGTGATCCAGTCTTTACATTAAGACTGTACCTGCAGTGCTGATTTGGCCCCACGCCCTCACCTGTTAGCAAACATTAGTTTCCAGTTTTTCTGGGTGGGCAACTTTGGGGTCCACTCCTTTGAACTGCTCTTCTGTGACCACTGCCCCCTACACTGGGCCAGCTCCACTCTGTGCCACACTCCCCTCCCCCATCCCCACTGCACGAGCTGCAGTTCTGGCCTTTTATGGTTTAGTTTCTCATTCTCCTCGGCCAGTACTGACAGGGCCATTGGCGTGGCTGCCCGCCAGCTGGCAGGAGCAGCATGTTAAATACCGTCCTGGGAGGGGAATGGAATGGAGGGGATGGGCTTTCTGTCTGCCTCCCCCTCGTAGGGCTAAGAATAGAATTGCTCAATAAAACGGGACTTGCATTGATGCAAACATCAAGGCCACATTCATTCAGAGCCCATGGATTTAGAATTAGTCCAAAGTAAACCTGGATTAAGCCCAGATTTACCTGCACGTCTCTAAGGACATCTGTGTATTATCTGATCAGGGCTGAATAACTAGATGTAAAATGTAAAGGAGATGAAGCAGGGGCAGTTTGGCTTACTCTGGATGGTGTTCAAGCATGTTGGAAGCATCCGTTTACAGGCCAGCTAAATAAGGCTGCTTTAGCACAACTTCTGCTTGTCAGCAGTAAACGTCTCTTCTTGTACATTCTTTAAAGCACTGCTTTCTTTTCAGATAGGCTATGACTCCCATTTTATACATGACAATAAACATAAGCCTTCCCCTCCATTAGTTTAAATGAGTGATGCTTAGCTTTTTTAAAGGCTTATGTGTTGAAAGGCAGTGCAGGGATTTGCGGAGCTCCGAGGGCCTCTGCCTCGGCTGGCACCTCTAGCCACAACCTCAGAGGGTGGGGGTGCCACTTGGGCAAGAGAGAGAAGCCCAGCCCAGATGATTTCCTTCCTGTAACTTGTCCAGCAAGAGATAAACAGGTCGCTTTGCATATCTTTAAAGGAGAAAAATAAAGTGGAGGGAGCCCCAAATACCCACCAATCCCCAAATGCTATCTGAGCCTGGAACTTGCATGGTATTTAAGGGCAGGAGACTTGCCTTCGTAATGCCTGGCTTAGATTTCAACAAGATGTGATCTTGATCTTATTCTACCTGATAGCCAGGAGCAGGGATCTGAAGATTTTTCAGAATCTCCTTTTGGCTCTGCCAGGGCCCAGAGGGTATTCTTGGTAATCAGAGTGCCTTAGCCTCCCAGGGGCCAAGGGCCGGCTATCCAGGTAGACGACCCTGGAGCCCTTGCAGCCCCTGGCATTCCAGGAAAGATGCGAGTGACTGCGACATGCCAGTGAAGGCAAGCCAGGCAGGTGAGGCACAGCCGCAGATCATCGTCAGACACACAGGCAGGCAGAGCCCGCCAGGATGGTTCCTCGTGTGAGAAGCATTAGCCTCGAGAGCCTCCATTTTCTCAGGAGTGGGAGCATTTGCTGAGAAGAAACCCCACTCTGTTAGTCAGGTTTCTGGGGAGCCAGGGAGTCATCCCCAGGAGCCCTGGAGCTCCGGGCCCTAGACTCTGAGGCTGCTGCCTTCCCAGACCAGGTCGGCTGTGGAGGGCAGGCCGCAGGCGCTCTGCTCTGAGGGGTTCACCCCTGGTGAGTCTGCCTCTGCAGGGATCTGCAGGTTGTGAAAACCAGGAAGCATCAGACCCAGCCCCTGGCCCTGAGGCGGTGGGGCTTCCAATCTCAGACACCTAAACCCCTTCATTCAAATTCCTTGAAAGCATGAAGCTTCACTTGGATTTAAAGCCCCGCTCTCCACATTTTCCGTCTTCACTTGCACGGCCGGGGGTAACATCCGTCATATGCCCGTTTTCTTGCTTTCACCAAGAGACTGGACAGGGTGGGGCACAAGTAGTACCTCTTCCACAGTACACACTTCTCAAAGTTTTCTCTTCTTGACCAAAGCAGAAGGAGAATCAGTCAGTGGGTGTACTGCATTCATTACATAAACCCAGGTGACTCTAAATGTGGCCATTCAGACATGTTCCAGGCCATGGTGGGGGGGGGTGGTGCGGGGGCAATGAGTCTGTCTTTCGTCCTTTGGGAGTTCTTACTGTTTTACTTGGGTCCTGGAGGGCTGGGTCCACTTGCCTCTAAGAGAGTGTAGAGCAATAAACATCTTAGCCAACACCAGAAGTATTTCTAAAAAGTCCAACATGTCTTTCAGAACAAACAGTTTTCCTAAGAGAACATAACACCCAGTGAAAGTGGATCCATCACAGGAGGCCTCCAGGGTGGCTGCAGAAAGGAGGCTCCGTCACAGTCCCAGCATCACCACCGCGGGCCAGGCCTGGGTGGCAGGGTGGATGGTTTCTAGGCAGGGCGTCCTTGGCTGGAATCGAGAAGCCGTGGGGCTTGGGGGAGGGGAGAGAATGAATATGTGTATGTATTATGTACTAGTATGTATATGTTTACACACACACACACACACTGGCAGAATGTTTTTTCCCTCTGTGTGCACAGGGTCATTTGAAAGAACCCTCTTTGGGTTTCATGCCTTGCTCAGGGGTGGGAGAGTAGAAGTCAAGAACTGTCCCTAGATTTGCTCGCTTGATGCTTGCAAAACCTCTAAAGGGAACGTGCATAGTAGCACCATGTTTCCAAATGAAAAAGACAAGCTAGTCTTGGGAGTTGAGGAATTCACCAGGGTTCACGCTATGTGAATAAATAGCATATAAATTCCCATAGCACAAAGGCATGGTTTTAATTATTAGCTGGGGGGCTCTGCACCTCTCCCTGCTTTGGAGGGATGAAGGGTTGCTAAATACTGTGACTAACACAACTACCTGCGGAAACTGAATCTGAAAATATAGGAAAATTTGGTTCAGATGAGCAACTGACCAAGTCAGAAAAGCTCAAGAGCCTCATGTAGTATCGGCTGCGTGACTCGCCTGGCAGTTGGCAGCGTTTCCGGTTCTTAGCGTTGCTGGTCTGAATGGGAAGGCAGCCCGCCAAGGCGACCACTTCTTGTGTCCTCAGCTCTTTTTCCGGCCCTTAGTCAGGGATGGTTGTGATGTGCTCCTGTGGTTTGCTTTTGGAATTCTTCACTTGTTTTATACCAGTTCTATGTGGATAGAAGAGATAGGGCAGGGATAACTTTAAATGTGTCACAAAGTCAGAAATAAACTACTACAACAATGACGGCAGTAATGGCTACTCAACTCGGCCACTTTCCTAAGAACTTTTCATAACCACCTTGTGATCCAAGTGCTATTCTTATCCACATTTTGCACTGTACAGACGAGGAAACTGAGGCACGGAAATAAAGAGTGAGTGGGGTCAGAGCTGTGTTCAAACCCGGATCTGTCTGCTTCTCAGCGAGGCAGGCGTTTCTAAAGTCTTAAGGAGAGTGTAGCCTGACCCCTAGGTATGTCATAGGTCATAGGTCATTGGCCTAGGGCCTGAAGGATACACACACACACACACACACACACACACACACATTGAACCCTCTCTCAAAACATTTTTTATGGGAAGCAGTCCACGCCTTCTGGGCAGCTTCCTAGATCTGTTTACGCTGAGAAATATGCTTATGACCAGGACAAAGTACAGGAAATCAGGGCTTGCAGACTGGACAGCTAGCCAAAAGAAAAGACTTTTCTCGAGCACATAGGTATCTGTAGGGCTTTCTCATAGGTGGTTTGTGCATGAGGGAACCAGAGCCCGGACCGGGGATGTCAGCTTGAGTTCTCTAGGATTCTCCCCGACACACATGATTCAAAACCTTTCTTTCCCTGAAATTCTGAAGAGTTGGGTGATATTGTGCTTCTTCATCCCCAGACAAGCCAGACCCCCCAGCCGGCACGCCTTGCGCCTCCGATATCCGGAGCTCCTCGCTGACCCTGTCCTGGTACGGCTCCTCGTACGATGGGGGCAGTGCTGTGCAGTCCTACAGTGTCGAGATCTGGGACTCGGTGGACAAGACGTGGAAGGAACTAGCCACGTGCCGCAGCACCTCGTTTAACGTCCAGGACCTGCTGCCTGACCGAGACTATAAGTTCCGTGTGCGTGCCATCAATGTGTACGGAACCAGCGAGCCGAGCCAGGAGTCTGAACTCACAGCGGTGGGAGAGAAACCTGAGGGTAAGCTGCCTTCACTTCGTCTCTGGCCTGAAATAAATGTGCGTGAACTACCTTGTGCAGGTAGAAACCTGGACTGAGAGGGGTGCAGAGGAGTGGGGAAGACATCCATGGTGACAGGCAGCATTTTTGGGAATCTTGATTTCCAAGGTTGTGATGCTGATCCATACTTTAAAAGAAGTACATACCACTTTTTAAGCAGCATTGGCACACTGCCATCAGGGGGCAATGGTGTGTCAATCAGGAGCACAGTCCTAGAAGTCAGGAGCTCAGGTAGACCTGAAGTTTCAATATCTCCCTTTCTCCTCCTCCTCCTCCTCCTCCTCCTCCTCCTCCTCCTCCTCCTGTTGCACTCAGATTTGAGTGTCTACTCAGTGTCAGGTCCTCGGAACACCAAGACAGATAAGACAAGTTGCTTAAACTCTAAAGGGAGCCCAGCCGGTGTGGCTCAGTGGTTGAGAGTGGACCTATGAACCAGGAGGTCACAGTTCGATTCTCAGGTTGCAGGCTCGATCCCTGGTAGGGGGTGTGCAGGAGGCAACCAGTCGATGTTTCTCTCTCATTATTGATGTTTCTCTATCTTCTTCTCCCTTCCTCTCTGAAATCAATAAAAATACATTTTTAAAAAATCTAAGGGGACAACTGTGTACACAGCTAATGATGGCGAGATGGTCTACATCTATCTAGCAGTATGAACAAATTGCAAAGGAGACACAGCAGAAGGCATGAGTAATTTGCCATGGACGTTGAGGAAGGCTTCCTAGAGGAGGTGGCACTTAAAACGAATGGGCTTCTAAGCGACAGGGAAACTAAGGAGAGGCATCTCTCACAGCGGAAACAGCATGAGCGAAGGTACCAAGTAATGGAAATGTGTGGCATTTTGAGAAGCTTGTGAGTGGCCAGGGCATGTGCTGTGTGAGTCAGAACAGGAGGAAGCAACCCTGAAAGGGCAGTTCAGGTCGAATTGTGAAGTCTATCAAAGATCTTCGGGCAGGGGTTTGATATGATAGATCTGCTTGTTTTTTTAATGCAACCTGTTTATTTCAAGTAGCATACAGACTCCAGCTAGACAGACCCATGTGTTCCTAAGACTTTTGGAATGTTGCCTTTTGGGGGAGATTCTTTTACTATGTACAACGTTATAATTTGACATCTGTATAGACTGCAAAGTGATCACCATCACAAGTCTATTTTTTTAAGAAGAGAATTAGAGGAAGAGTAGAGCTTTGCTACTCAAAGTGTGGTCTGGACTAGCAATCTTGAGACCCTGGAGTTTGTTGGAACTGCAGATGTCCACACTCACACACACCCCTCCCCTAGTCTCTTCTGAACTTCACCATCCACCCGCTCCGCCACCCCCATGAATCTGTATCATGAGAAGCACTGGAGTGGAGGAGGGGATGAGAGTGGAGTCAGTGAGACACTAGTTGGTTCTCTGTGGTGTAGTCCAGGAGAGGGATGATAAGGGTATGAACTAAAATAAACCCTCATGCGATGGAATTGGCCAATCTTGATGACTTTTTGGGTAGGGAGTTGAGGGGGAAAATTAGAAAAGTTTAAATGACTCCCAGTTCCTGGCTTGGGTATCTGAATTCAAGAGTCATTTAGTTTATTGTTATGATTCATCGTGGCTGACATCTATTAGGCACTGCTATATGCTAACAGTATGTTCAGCATTTTCCATGAATCGTTTCATGCATCTAACTCATTGAAGTAGATCTGTCATCTCCCCTATTTATAGATGAGAAATGAGGTTTACAGGGGAGAAGCTAGTTGCCCAGGGTTATAGAGCTCGTATTAGCGAGTTGAAGCTGGAACTCAAAGCTGACTGACCCAGAGCCTGGGCTTCTTTGGCTGCCTCCCAGTGACTTGGAGGTTGGATAGCAGGAAGTCCAGGAGGGTGGGGAGCAGGCAAGTTAGAGTGGGGGTGCCAGGACAGGCAACCAAATTGCAGTCTGCATGTGTTTAGCATATTTCTTTAAGAAGAGGATTCTTTTTTTTTTTCTTTAAGCCTATTCATAGCTTTTTTTTAAATTAAATCTTTATTGTTCAGATTATTACATTGGTTCCTCTTTTTTCCCACCATAACTCCCCTCCACCCAGTTCCCACCCCACCCTCCGCCCTCACTCCCCACCCACTGTCCTCATCCATAGTGCACGATTATTGTCCAATCTTCAGAAGAGGATTCTTTACCTCTTGGAAAGAGGCAGGAAAAAGGATAACATTGCAGTGGCACCCGCCCAGGCCAAGGCCAAGGAAAGCCTGGAGCTTTGAAGGGGACGTGATCTGTTGCACCCCTGCTGTCTCCTCACGTCCCCATTCACTCCTGCACGTTCATGCTGTGGCAGCAGGAGCCGCTTATGTCCCCCTCGCCACACCTCACAGGCACCTGTGGGTTCCATTGTGTGACGTCACCCCTCCTCATTGTGTTCCATCATTTCCTTTAGGTCAGTAGTTGCCAAACCAGTGGTCTGCGGACCACTGGTGGTCCATGAGGTCCGAAAGGTTGGCGATCGCTGCTTTAGGTCACAACTCAAGGGCAACTTCTCTTAGAATAATTGCTGGACTTTATAATTGCCCCGTTTTGTGTTGCCTTCTTCCATGTGCACTGTGACAGTGTGTGCTTGATTATATAATACTAGAGGCCCGGTACACGGATTCATGCACTGGTGGGGGTCCCTCGACCTGGCCTGTGCCCTCTCGAAATCCAGGACCCCTCAGGGGATGTCAGACTGCTGGTTTCGGTCCGATCCCTGCAGGCCAGGCCGAGGGACCCCACTGGTGCACGATCTGTACACCAGGCCTCTACTATGCATATAAGATCTTTGGTTAATCTCTTCCTGCCCTCCCCCACCCCTCTTTCCTCTGAGATTCATCAGTCTGTTCCATGTTTCAATGCCTGTGCATTGAGCATCTGCCCCCTGGTGGTCAGTGCATGTCATAGCTAGGCTTTTATAGATAGATAAATAGATAGATAGATAGATAGATAGATAGATAGATAGATGATAGATAGATGTGTCATGGGTATTTTAAGGAAATGTGTTTTTGCCTCCCCAACTACGATATAAGCTACAAGAAGAAGAAGGTATTATGCCTCTATGTATTTTGTTCTGTATACCCACAATACATGGCCAAATATTGGAACATGGCTGGAATTCCATGAAAAACTTTCAGTAAATGGATAAATGGATTGGACATGCTGGCAATCACAAGTTTCTGACTTTCGAGCCAGAGCAGAAAGGTCCATCACAATTGTGTGTAGGTTCTGAAAGTCAGAGGGATTGGAAGAGATGTGAAGAGGGTGTGCCTAGAGGACCACGAGGGTAGAGAGGACAGGATGAAGGCAGGAGCTGGGATGGGACTGGTAGGGTGAGGAGGCTAGTGTCTGCCCGCATGCACATGGCCCTGTTGCAGCATAAGCTGACTGACCACACAGCGATGCCCAGGCTCTGGGCATGGTGGTGTTGTGCCTGACAGCCCCCAGCAGGTTTTGCTTTCAATGGGCCTTCAGTACTAATCCCTGTGTCCCCTCCTTGCCTCCCCCAGAGCCGAAGGATGAAGTGGAGGTGTCCGATGATGGTGAGTGCTGGCCACCCGCCTTGGGTGGGCTCTAGGGGTGGAAAGGGGTGAGCAGGGATCTGATGGCTCACACCCACCCCAACCCCCACCCTGCAGATGAGAAGGAGGCTGAAGTCGATTACCGGACGGTGACGGTCAATACCGAACAAAAAGTGTCTGACTTCTACGACATCGAAGAGAGACTAGGATCGTAAGTGGAGTGGGAAGCACCCTTTGGGCCCCAGCGTGAGGGTGACACAGACCCCCCAGTGAATTCCATGCCTTGTCTTCCCGTTCTTTCCTGGGTTTGCCAGCTCCCCAGACTGACATGCCTGCAGCATCAGGAGGGAGGGACAGCATTCCACGAAAGCATGGCCACCCAGGGCTCTAGCCGCGTGTATTTCTGCGCTGGCCCCTCTGTGGAGGGCTTGGGCGAGCCTTCCTTTGCTGTGCCTCATTCTCCACACAGCCCTGAGCTGAGGGGACCATGTCTGAGTCAGACTGTCTTCGGGACCCTCCCATCCGACCCACAGAAGGCAGGCCGGCCTGACCTGTGCTCCCTGTGCGGCACTGCTAGCTCAGGGCTTCAGGGACGCACACCCTTGCAATGCACGGCTGCCCACTCTGGCGCACTCTCCGCACTTGGTCCGCACTCTTTACTCTGAATCCTCCCTGGGGTTGGACCCCATCCTGGGCCCTGGTCACAACCAAGCGCCCCCTCCAGCAGCAGCGCCCCGGGCTGCCTCCCGCTAGCACTCTATTCCTGAGCACGGGAGGTGGAAGCAAAGGGGGGGTCTCTGCTTGTATTCCCAGCCTCATAGCAGTTGGTACAGGGAGCCGGCACCGCTAGTGGGAGCTGTCAGAGGACCGCGCCCTGTCCCACAGTGGGCAGCAGGGCCTCCGGGCTGTCTCCGGGACAGTGCTGAGGAAGGGGGAAGGGAGGTAGCCACTCAGACATTCTCTGTGTTTGGGGAGACTTCCTCAACCTGACCTCACGGGTCCCTCTGGTGGGAAGGGGAGAGAACTCCACCAGCCACGCTGGAGGCCCCACCAAGGCGGTGACCTGCTGAAGGAGCAGCAGGGCTGGCATGTTGGGTGGGATGTGGGGCCAGCACAGGCTGCAGCAGGCAAGTGATGGGGAGAGTAGTTTGCAGTATTAGAAATGCACTTCCCTGACCCAGAGCAGGGCTGGCAAACTCTTTCTGTAAAGGGCCAAGTAATGGATGTTCCAGGTTTTGTGGGCCATGCAGTCTGTGTTGCAACTACTTCTCTGCACATTCAAGGGCGGGTGGGACGGGGGGGAGCCATGTGGGGTCTCCCACAGACAATATGCACACAAATGGCATGACTGTGCTCCAATAAAACTTTATGAAAACAGGCGGGCCAGATTTGTGGGCCATCCCCCAGTGGGCGGAAAGCTTGGCTAAATGTGCCTTTTCCCTCCTCCTTTCACTTGCAGTGGGAAATTCGGACAGGTCTTTCGACTGGTAGAAAAGAAAACTGGAAAAATCTGGGCAGGGAAATTCTTCAAAGCATATTCGGCAAAAGAGAAAGAGAACATCCGGGAGGAGATCAGCATCATGAACTGCCTCCACCACCCCAAGCTGGTCCAGTGTGTGGACGCCTTCGAAGAAAAGGCCAACATCGTCATGGTCCTGGAGATGTGAGTAGCCCGCTGCCCCACCCGCCCCTTCACTGCAGGCAGGGGCGTGAATGCAAGACATTCACAGCCCATCCAGCCAGGGACTGACCACTCGGCACAGCTCTGCGCACAGCACTGGGCCTGACCACTGACCACCAGCCCCCTGAGCCCCTGCTCATTTCCATAACAAATGGGCAGATCTTGGAGGACCCCCGTCCCCTTCCCCCCTCACCTCCCTGTGAAAGGGCTCCTTGGTTCCATTCAGGGGCCTTCTGATCTGGAGGTGGCTTCAGAGGAGGAGGGGAGGGATGGAGCAGCTTCCTGACCAGCCTGTGAAAGGGAGGGGTCCAGGGTGGGGGCTCAGAGTGTAGAGTGTAACCTTGCTCCCTCCTCTTGCTGTGCTCCGTGTGCTCATTTGTACTTTCTTCACTTCTCAGTCAGCTTTCTGTGCTGGGTTGTACACAGCAGGGAGATGGATCCAGTGACCTCTAGCCAAGGCTTTCCTTTCCAGGCTTTCCTCTAGTCCCACTTCTCCACCTCTCCCACCTCTGAACTGCTGGCATGTGTGCACATGTGCAAACACACCTGTGCACACAAACTCACATGTGTGTAAACACATGCACACATGCGTCCAAACACACCTGCACACATACACGTGTGTGTAAACACATACATGTACATACTGGTGTCAGTAAGTCAGACATCTCCATAGTGTCTATATTTTTAAGAATTTCTTTTCCTTTTCCTGCTTTGACTATTTTTAATATATGATACTATCTCATCAAAAAATATAAGAACAAATGCAATGAAAAATCCCATTCCCATCCCCTGCCCCCATCTACCCTATTCCTACCCCACCACCAACCAGGAAACAATTTCATTGGTTTTGTCTGTATCCAGTTTCTTTGTGAAAATACAAGCACATATAATACATACATCCATACTGCCCACCTTTTAACACAAGGGCAACTCGTAGTTACGATTCCATACTTTGCTTCTTTTCATTCTACAGTTTACCTTGGAGACAGTCCCCTATCAGTAGCAGTGAGCTCCCTTGTTCCCCCGCTCCGTGCGACGTCATCACATGCATATACCACGGTTTATTGTCCTCTTTCGGCAGGAGTGGGTGGTTTCCAGGTGTTGCTTTTACAAGCAAGCAGTTTCTGTAACCTGGTCCCATACACCCTTTCACTCATGCCTGTGTGCATCTGGAGGATAAACTCCCAGCAGTGTGGGGTGCTGGATCAATGTGTATGTGGAATCTTGAGAGAGATTGTGCAGTTGACAGCAGCATCCTGGAATTGCTCCTTCCCAGGCAAGGCGAGCCAGGGAGGCCAGCGAGGCAGCCCCGAGCTCAAGGCGTGAATCCCTCCTTCGTGAAATGATGAGTCCCTTTCGGTTTCTGTTCCTTAGGAAAGTGGTTAACAGCACAGACTTGAGTCCCATAAACCTCACCGCAGTCCCAACTCAGCCTCTTACTTGGTGTGCGACCTTGAGTAAATTACTCGGCTCTGCCAACCCTTCGTTTTATTATCTGAGAAAGGAGGCTATAAACCGCCTCGTGAATAGTGTGGGATCAAAGGGACTAGCGTGTGGCGGGCACAGTGCTCTGCAATGGAGAGTTGCTCTCGGTAGTTCAATGCTTTGGCTTTTTCTCTATCCTGGTCTTTTTCCCACTCAAAATTACGTTGTGAGCATTTTAACACCCAACTGGGTACCATGGAACAAATCCTACTATCCAGGTCCTATTACTGTGTAGCGGTGATTTTGTCATTATTAAATCCTTCTAGCAGGAGAGGTATTTGGGTTAGACTCCCATTTGTTCTTAAAATTCTGTGGAATTGGAAAAGATTCAAAGAAAATCTCTATCATATCTTAAACTCCGTTTTTAGCCCCAAACTCCAACTTGCCTCTCCACTTCCAGGAAGGATTTAGCCATGTGTGTGGCCTCACCCCCACCACAGCCCTGTGGCTGCAGCTTTTCACATTCGTTCTAGAGCAGGTTCTTGGTCCAGGCAGTGTGGGCATGTGGGGACATGTGAATAAACGCCTTATCTTTAGAAGTTAAATCTTGAGCAAGTTCATGAGGGCGTGCAGGGAGGGGGAGGAGGCGGCCCAGCCTGGGTAAGGCCAGGCAGCAGCACCAGTAGGCAGAATACCATACTTAGCTTGGAATTGGGAGTTGGCAAGCTGGATGGAAAATGTTGGGAGAAAATGTAAGAAGGCTTCCGCAGGTCTGGGTTTCATCCCTCCACCCCAGCCTCCCCCAAGGACAGGAGCAAATCTTCCAGGCACAGATGCCAGAGGATTCGCCTGCACTCGGGGTCAGGAGCTCACCCCAAGGAGAGGGAGCAGATCCGTGCTCGATCTGCGCTTCAGACAGGCTCAGCCTCTGCGAGCACAAAGGTTGGTGCTCAGCAGTGCCATTTGCTGTTTGACGGAGAAACTGGGGTTAGGAGAAGAACAATTCCTGGTGTGGTAGAAAAACACGAATGTATTGCAGGGCCCCAGCCCTCCGTTCAGCGGCCTCAGATACAGGGAGAAACCGGGAGGAACGTGCCTTCAGCCTTTCCGACCTGTGGTTGCAGGACAAGCCTGTCACTACAGCAGTGGTCTCTGACACTGGGCTTCCTCCCGGCTCCTGACCTGGTATCTGGGCTTGTCCTTTTGGGAGCACGTGGGACGTTCCATGTGGTGGTGAGACCCTGAACACAGGAGAGGATGTGCCGTTTAGGCTGAGTCATCTAGGGTCCATCTCACTTTTGTGCTACTGTTGGCAAGATTGATCAAAGAACATCCATCCAGCTGGCCTCCATGAGACATGGAGTCAGAGGGTCTAGTCCCGAGTCTCCGGTAGTGAGTGCCATTCCTCCTGGCTGCCCGTGAGGACTGGGGGGTCTACAGTTTGGGGGATAGATTTGATCCCTTGGGATTAGGTGGCCTTGGTTATAGGTATTCATGCATTCATTCATTCATTCACTCACTCACTGTTAACTTATTAAGCACACATTTCTTCGGGCCCGATCTTGGCCTTGGCATTATCCCATCTCTGTGGTGGTGGCCCCTTTCCAGCCAATACTTTCCACCAATCATCCCGAGTGTTTTGAATAGAACCATTTTTTTAACTGCTTCTTTTTTAAAATGTTTTTATTGATTTTAAAGAGAGAGGGAGGGAGAAAGAGAGAGAGAAGATTGATTAGCTGTCTCCCATATGCACCCCAATGGGGGACAAACCCGCAACCTGGGTATGAGCCCTGACCGGGAATTGAACCGGTGACCCTTTGGTGCACAGGATCACTCTCAACCGAAGGAGCCACACCAGCCAGGGCTGAAACCTATAGAATCATTAATCCTATTTTTGTAACTCCTTTCATTCTTAAAAAAGTGGAACAAAGGAGTAGTTTTCAAAATATTTTATATTTGAATAGGTTTGAACCTATCTGTACATATATTGACTAGGTTACCTCTAGAAATGCAGTAGTAATTATCTCTCTGGCTCCGATTTCTACCACTCATTGCCTCAGGCATTCCCAAGGGCACTGCAGATGATGGCGGCTTGCTTTTTCTCAATACTTTAAATTTAGAAGCAAACATTTTGGGGCATCTTGTCTGTGCCAGACATTGTCAGGTATAAACAAGGGTCTAGATATGAGCCAGACCTTTTCCAGACATGCTCACAAACAACTGTAAGGAAAGGCAGACTTGAACAAAAGTGCAGAGACAAGGCTTTGGAAACCCAGGGAGGGAAGGCTCACTGCATATGGACAACAGGGTGTGCTTTATCCAGAGGACATGAATTTCTTCTGCCTCTCAAAGCTGGTAATGGTGTAAGCCAGTACTTCCCGAACTTGTTGGATCATAAGAATGAGCTGGGGTGCTTATTAAAAATACAGATCCTCAGGTCCCTCCCAAATTTCTAAAATCAGAATCTCCAGGAGTGGAGCTTGGGAATCTGTATTTTCAACTAAAGCCTCAACTGGTTCTTTTAAAAAAATAAAAAACGATAACATTATTGAGCAGTTACCATGTGCCAGGCACTCTCTAAGCACGTTAGGTGCATTACCTTGGTCTTCACAGCAATCCTGTGAGGTGAGGCTGTTTTTATCTGCATCTTTGAAGCACAGATGTTCAGAATCACCTGTGACCTAAGCGCAGATTCCTTTAACTTGGAATGAGAGCCTGGGTGGAGAGCAGTAGACATGAAGAGCTTGAGGAAAGCGGCGCCACCTGCTGGTCTCCCTGGACCTTCTTGGTTGGTTCTAAAAGGGTCCGTTGCAGCGCCCCCAGCGGCCATGCGCACAGATGATCTTTCCCAGCTCAGAGGGTCCAGAAGTGAATGTGGTTGTCATGTGGTGACAGAGGCCAGCCTCCCAGAGGCTGTGCTGTGCAGGGCCCCACAGTGCACCTCTGCCTGTTTCTCCCTCAGGTGTCAGAGAGGTGATCCACTTGGCAATAATATGTGCGGAACACCTCCTGTGTGTCAGGCATGATGCTTACAAGGGTTCCTTCGTTCCTAGCAATTCTATGAGGAAGGGAACTGGGGCTCAGAAAGATGAACTCACACAGCTTGTGAGGCAGAGACAGGATTCATACACAGCTCTTTCCCTTCATGATGACTCCCCTTAGAAGAGAGAAAGGCCCTCGGAAGAGGACTAGCCTAGAATGGATTAGGTGGCCTTGGTAATAGGTCAGCTGGAGGACTGATGCCTACATGAGTTACCAAGGAGATGCTTTAAACCAGCGGTCGCCAACCGGTGGTCCACGGACTACTGGTGGCCCGTGAGGTCCGAAAGGTTGTCGACGGCTGCTTTAAAGTTTCTGAGCAGTGAGCAAGGAAGATGGGTCAGAGGGGTGGGATGGGAAGAGAGAGGACCACTCAACTCTGAAAGTGAGGCCATCCATTTGCACTGAAGGCCAGTACTGTGGCAGGCTGGACCCCGGGGCAGTGCTTAGCACAGCCGTGGGCAAACTACGGCCCGCGGGCCGGATAAATGAATAAAACTAAAAAAAAAAAAAAGACCGTACCCTTTTATGTAATGATGTTTACTTTGAATTTATATTAGTTCACACAAACACTCCATCCATGCTTTTGTTCCGGCCCTCCGGTCCAGTTTAAGAACCCATTGTGGCCCTCGAGTCAAAAAGTTTGCCCACCCCTGGCTTAGCAGAAGATGTCCTCTGTGGGCCCCAGAAACACCATGGCCAGGCCCCAAAGTCTATCCAAGCAGGAAGGATGTACTACATTCTAGCCTGGGCCCCAAGCATGCAGGACAAGTCAGTTATGCTGGAAGGAGTGAGCTGATACTACAGGCCTAGCCAGAGGAAGCAGATCGATCATAACTGTAAGTGTGGTAGGTTACAGCCAACGAATTTGCTGAGGCTTGTTGTTGAAGATACTTTGTTGTTCCTATGAGTATTATTTCAAGTTTCAATTCTCTGTGACTAAAAGACATGGCTAGAATACAAGAATGATCCCCTGTACATCGATAGTCATTTGGGGAATGGAAGCTGCCCCCAGCCGTTAACCTTTTGCTAAGGAGATCATGTCTGGATCTGTCAGTTCATGACACCCCTGAAACCACCCGGCCTAGGTGCTTCCCTGAATCCCCCAACAGCTTAGTGGGCACAGGCAGAGTCCCCCAAGAGGAGACCAGGAGGCCTGGGCCCTCCTCTCACAGTGGAGATGACCAGTGTAACAGGGCAGTGGCCTGGGACTCAGGACACTGCAAAAAGTGCCCAGCACCCCCATACCCTGGGCTTTCCTGCCCGTCTTCCCAACCCCCGACCTGCCCTTGGCCAGAATCCCTGCCAGCCCGGGCTCCATGATCCTGTGGTCTAACTGCCCCCTTCTGTCCCTGTAGCGTGTCAGGGGGTGAGTTGTTCGAGCGCATCATCGACGAGGACTTTGAGCTGACGGAGCGAGAGTGCATCCAGTACATGAGGCAGATCTCGGAGGGGGTGGAGTACATCCACAAGCAGGGCATCGTCCACCTGGACCTCAAGCCCGAGAACATCATGTGTGTCAACAAGACAGGCACCAAGATCAAGCTCATCGACTTCGGTCTGGCCAGAAGGCTGGGTAAGGCCTCTCCTATTGTCCTCAACATGTAGTGGCAGTGGCTGTGGCTCACACACTGGGTATTAGAGGGAATGCACAGCATTGGAGTTAAACTCAGAGACTGTGGAGATGGCCCAGGTTCAGAACCCACCTTTACCACTTACTAGTTGTGAGGCTAAGTCCCAAATTCCTCATCTGTAAAATGGGATGATAGCAGTACCCACTTCACAGAGTTGTTATGGGGATCAAATGAGTGAATGCAGGTATAGTGATGAGAGCAGTGCCTTGCACATAGTAAGTAAGCACTTTTGTAGGTGTTAGCAATTTATTATTATTACTAGAGGCCCAGTGCACAAAGTTTGTGCATGGGCAGGGGGAGTGGTGTGTGTGTCCCTCAGCCCAGCCTGCACCCTCTCCAATCTGGGATCCCTCTCACAATCCAGGACTGCTGGCTCCCAACAGCTTGCCTGCCTGCCTGCCTACCTGATTGCCCCTAACTGCTTCTGCCTGCCAGCCTGATCACCCCCTAACCACTCCCCTGCCAGCTTGATTGACACCTAACTGCTCCCCTGCTGGCCTGATTGACGCCTAACTGCTTCCCTGCCAGCCTGGTCACCCCTAACTGCCCTCCCCTGCTGGCCTGGTCACCCCATAACTTCCCTCCCTTGCCAGCCTGGTCGCCCCCAACTGCTCTCCCCTGCTGACCCGGTCACCCCTAACTTCCCTCCCTTGCCAGCCATCTTGTGTCCACATGGGGACGGCCATCTTGTGTGTTGGAGTGATGGTCAATTTGCATATTACCTCTTTATTATATAGGATTTTTGTTGCTGTTGTTGTTGTTGTCCCTTTTATATTTTTCACTCTGGTGCCTTCAGAGTGAAAGCACCTTGTGATGGTGCTTCCTACACTTGCCTCCTACTGTCCAGTTTTCAGTCTCCTGCTGCTTCCTCTCATTTGATTCTCACAGCAACCCTGTAAGGTATGCAGGGCAGATGTTATGAGCCCAAATGATAGACTAAGAAAACGAGGTTCACAGTAGCTTTTCCCAGCAGGTCCCACCAGGAGCCAGGAGGGGTCCTGGGGCTGGAATAGGGACCCCAGACACAGTTTGAGCTTCCTGAGCACCTGTGCTATTCCGGCCGTGTGGGGAGGTGCAGGAGGTGGGCGGCACCTGCACCCAGCCCCGAGGTCATTTTGGTGGGTGACTGTCTGCCTCACACGCCACCTCCACCCACCCTGCCTGTGTAGCTCTGTGAGGTCTCAGGAATTGAGGAAACCGCTTCCCCCTCCACCTCCTGACCACAGCCTTGGCAACACGGGCCTGGGGCCAGCAGGAGCTGGCCTTTCTTCCCCCCCCTGCAAGGAGCCATCCTGATCCCAGGAGGTCAAACAGAACGACTAAACGCCGGAATTTACTTTCTCTTCTACACCCTTGCCGGGTCACTACCCCTATTAGTTGCCCTGATTGGTGTCCCGAGGTTGGGCGAATGCACCTGCTCTTCTCTCTCCTGCTGAGGGCATGGTGTGGGGGCCACCGCTGGTGGGCAGGAAACCCTAACAGTTTAAACAGATAGGGCACAGCTGGCCTAGGGAGCTAGCATGTCAGAGCCCAGAGAACACAATGGGCAGGCTGCCTTAGAGAGGGGATATGTGGGGACAGGGTGTCTAACACGGGGCAGAGAACTGGGAAGTTAAGATGTAGCAGGCAGGGTTCAGGCTTGAGCTGGAGCAGAGCTCCCACGTCCGAGAGCCATTGGGTGCCTTGTCTTAGAGCACTCACTGGGGCTCTGTTGTTAACAGGACCAGGAGCAACCACAGGCCAAAGGCGTGCCACCCCTCCAGGAGCTGGCACCTGGTGTGCATACTCCAGACAGCTCTTGTCCTTTATGGCTCAGAGGCACCTGCGGCTAAGGTTTCCTGACGATCCTCCCAGCAGCTCCTGGGAGGAGAGAGATGAGGTTGCACGTGGAGAAGCCGTGGAGTAGAGAGCTTGGCTTGGGAGTTAAGACCCTGCACACTGTAACTGGGGGGGGTAAATCACTCACTTCCCTGGAGCCTGTCCTTGGAGCCTGGGGTTGTCGAGAATGTTACATAGGAAAGTTTGTCAAGCAGGCAGCAGGGCTCACTATTACCAAGCACAGGTCCCAGCCCCGCCTCAGGGCACTCGTGGGAGAGGCAGGCACAGGGCAGAGCCCTGGCAGCAGGGGTTTAGCAGCCTCTCCTCCCCGCCCCACCTGCTGAAGGCACTGAGGCGAGGGTGTGGCTGCTTGGTCTCATGGTGCATTGATGCACTTGTTTAACGGGAGGCCGGGGTCTCTGTGCCTTCTCCTGGGAGACAGCAGCTGAGGCCGGTCCTCTCTGTGTCTCTCCCGGGCACACAGATGAGGGCATCCAAGAACGATGGGTTGGCTCCACAGTGTTCTGGCCAGTGATCCCTCTCTATCTGGTTACAGAGAATGCAGGGTCTCTGAAGGTCCTCTTTGGCACCCCGGAGTTTGTGGCACCTGAAGTGATCAACTATGAGCCCATTGGCTACGCAACAGACATGTGGAGCATCGGGGTCATCTGCTACATCCTGTGAGTCTTGGGTATAGGGAGGCAGGGGCAGGGAGTGCCACAGGAGGGTCCGCAGGCTGCCCTGATGTTCAGGGGTCAGGGTGGCTCATGGTGGCGAGCCTGCCCCAGAGTCAGGAGGGTGGCAGGCTCCCATCTTACCCCCTGGCCTGCCCTTCTTGCGCTCCCAGAGGTCAGCCGCCCACTTCACACTCCCATGGGAGCACCTAGCTCCACACACCAGGACCGGCCTTCCGGGCCCCTCGCCATCCCTGATGCTGGCCAGCCTGGGGCCTCTGGTTAGGAGGGTGGGAATGTGGCTGGTACCATGTAATTTACCTTCACTTGTGTGGGTGGGTGTGGAGAGGAGGGAGGGAGCCCAGGTGTGCGTCTCCTGTGGGCGTCATCATTGTCTGCAGAGGACAGCACCCCATCCTCGCTGCAGTGGTCTGGACCAGCGCTTCACAAACAGTACCATGTGTGAATCACCTGAGACAGTTTAGGTTGCAGGGTGGTTCAGAAGGCCTGGGGTACTTGGGAATCCACATTTCCAGGAAGGAAATGTCCAGGTTGCCAGTAGTGCTGGTCCAAGGATCGAGCTCTGAGGACCAGGCTTTAGGTGGGATTATAGCTACACCTGGAGGGATAGTAACAGGGAAGGGCACTAGGACTGTGGGGAGTGGACAGCCACGTGGGAGTGTTCACAGTGAACACATCCATGTAACCTATACCCAGATCATAAACCACACACTCCCTCTTGGTGGGATCTTGCTGGTTTCACCTCTGAAGCCCGGGCCACAGACAGCCATCGGCCTCAGAGGCAGCCCGCGAACTTGTGTGGCAGCACACAGCTATGGGATGGTTAACCCAGAAGGTGTAGATGTGCGTGCATTCATTTTGTGAAAAAGTAGATTTTGTTCTTCAAGCAAAACGAAAAATTAAGCGTTTTCATGGTAAGTAGGAGGAGGACCTCTCAGAATGCTTCCTTGGACCCCTGGGGTCCCCAGTGTGAGCAATGGCTGTGGGCGACCCTGCTGCACAGCCAGGCTCAGGAACCCCTGTTACACAAGCTTTTCCAAATGAGTGATTTTTTGTGCAGAGTGGCTTTTCCACAGGCTCAGGAGTTTTACTGTCACTGTGGCCTGTGAGGACAGCCTCCCTCAGCATCACAGCCTCCCGTATCACAGATTCTGTACCCCAGAGTCATCTTCCCCCCTCCTCGCTGTCACCCCCACCAGCATGGCTTCCCCCAGAGCAGCAGAGAAGGCCCCGGCCAGGAGTGCGTTTCCCTGCCTCTCTCTATTGCAGACCTCTCCAAGAAAAAGGGGGCCGATGAGTAGAGAAAGCTGCACCTGATTCTGAAGGCCTGGCTCCTCCGTAAATAAGGAAGCAGGACAGTGGGCCTCGCCTACCCTTTCTGGGGCCGCCCCGCTGGACGATGCTCACACTGTCCAGGGCCTGGCTTGGTCCCTGGGTCCCTCTGCAGCCACGAGAGACGTGCCTGACTGTCTCCCCGGCTTTCCCACACGAGCCGAGATCATCTGCAGCCACGGATTTCACAGGGTCCTCGTTTAATCCTCAGGACAAACCAGGGAGAGGGTCATGGCAGGGCTCCAACCTCCATTTGGCGTTGAGATGACCAGGGCCAAAGCCTCCCACGTGGCTGTCCACTCCCCACACTCCTAGTTGACCCAAGACTGACGCGTTTCCCAGGGTACAGGACTTTTAGTGCTAAAGCGAGGACAGTCCTGGGCCAACTAGGGCCTTTGGTCTCCCTGCTGGTCAGGGACAGCGCCGTGACTAAACTGCTCAGTACATGTTCACAGTGACACGTCTGCGTAACCCACACCCAGATCATGAACCAAACACTCCCAGGGCCGCGGGGCCCTCCTGGCGCCCTCCCGGTTACTATCCCCCAGGTGTAGCTATCATCCTCATGTCTAAGATCATGCGTTAGTTCTGCCTATTCTTGAACTTGATATAAATGGAATCACACAGAAAGACACATCTGGCGTCTTTTGCTCAACACTGACTGTGAGGCCCATTCACGTTACTGTGTGTAGCTGTAGCTGCTCATTCTCGGTGCTGTGCAGTGTCCACTGTGGAGCATCATCCCACTTGTGTCTATTCCGTGTTGATGGGCTTTTGAGTAGATTCCAGTTGGGGTGTTGCAAGGGTTCGGATACATGTGTGTTAGTGAATATATTTATGCATTTCCATTGGACATATATATTCCACAACTGGAATCACTAGGTCATAAGAGCACTTTATTTTAAAATGAAAATCCTTTTAGGTGGAGGAACATAGTAATTGGGATAATATGTTATATGTTTACTAGATTATTTTTAAAGCAAAGACCAAGAAGTAGGGCAGAGCTTTGGAAATGGGGAGAAAGTGATTCTGATGAGTGGGGCACCAGCCTGAAGTTGTTTGGGGGGGCGGGGTGGAGAGGGAAGAGAGGCGTGTGTGGTGGGGACGCAGGTCGGCCCTGCTTAGCCTCCGGCAACCGCCCCCCCCGCCCCCCCAGGGTCCAGCACCCATCACTGTGGGCTGCTCTGCCCGCTGGGACTTTCCCCGCTGGCTCTCGCAGTGGGATAGAGGTTGGGCAATTCCCTCCCGAGCTAGGGCTCTCAGCAGAGCACATGGTGCCACAACAACTGTTGGAACCAGACAGATTGCTTCCTCCCAGTCCTGCTGTGCAGAAACCTGGAGCCGCTGCTGGAGCACCCAGAAGAGCTCTCTGGTGCCCCTGCTGCACAGCCAGGTTTACCAAGAGGGGAGTGATTTTTTTGTGCACCGCGTCCCTCTCTTTGGAGCTTGGTTGTCTGTCTGGCAGTTTCTGTTGAGCCACCTTCTGCATGTGTACCAGAGAACCTCCTCCCCACCCCTCCATCTCCTTTCTGAGGCCCGGGAGAGATGGGGAGGCCAGGGAGTTGGGGGACAGGTGATAACATTTATTATTTAACACGTCTGTGAGCGCCTCTTAAGCAACCAGTGCTGCCTGCTGTCTTTGTAGGTTGCTCTGACTTTGTTGGAGGGACTCCTCAAGCCCCGGGAGAGGTCAGGGCAGAGCCGGCCCTGGTGCTGGACACCTGGTCCCCTGCCTGCCTGGCTTTTCCAGGCAGAGTAGAGATGCAGCAGGCAGGGCTATGGGGTCCCTCCCCTCTCACCCCCGTTCTGAAGAGAGAGAGTCGATTTTGTGAATCTCCTGGAGACTCTTATTGTGTTAGAAAAACCTGCTTGATTTCTGGCAGGAAAGCGAGGATGGGGTGCTCTAGGCCACACTTCCATGTGGAAGAACTTCTAAGCCCCGCCTTTTCTCTAAGACCTTCCTCTCCTGCCTCCCTGCCCTCTGTTCCTGAGCACTTGGTGTTCCCTCACCGCCTGCAGGGGCACCACCCCTCTGTGCCCAGCCCTCACCCTGTTCCAGCATTCCTTCTCTCTCCCTGCCCTCAAACCAGGGTAAAGAGCAGCTACTGCTCTGCTTTCTCCTCCCAACCATGTACCTGACAGGGCAGTGAGAGACTTCCCGTTTCTGCTCATTGGTTGAGCACCCGCCATGAGAGAGAGCCAGAGTCAACCCCATCAGAGTCTAACTTTTGGGGACAGCAGGTGGTGAACGGGGGTGAAGTGCCAGGGCCCAAGCATCGGGTACGTACCCAGACTTGGGTTTGAATGCAGGGCTCTTCAGAGGGATGCAGTGGCCCCACCCAGGGCAGCCCTCCTCTCCACCCATGAGCCAGACATCTCTCTGAGTCCAGCTCCGCGTTTACCCCTTGCCCACACCAGGCCCAGCCACCACCTGCAGGTTCTTGGGTGGTGTTTAGCATGACTAAACCCCAGCTCTCTGCTTCCTAGGCCACTGCACAATAGGATACCCAGCTCTTCCCGTGGGACCTGCCCACCCTCGTAGTTCTCTCACCACACTTCAGTATTTGATGGCTAAAATGGGATCCAAGGCGAACTCTTCCTAAGCAATCAGTAGTCCTGCTAGCAGATGTGTGGTCTCCTTAGCTGGCCGTTCATGCAGCCAGCCAGTCATCTGCTGCTTGAAAAACACCATGGGGAAAGTGTAGTCCAAGAAGCACTTCTCTTTGTTCGAGAAAGAGTTCACCTTTCTCCTGCCTTTCTGCCCTGAGAGCAGAACAGACCTTGCGTCGGATTCCCTGGGCAGAGTTTTGCTGCAGTGAGGTATTAAGAAATTAGAACACCCTGCAGTACTGACCATTGGGACTCATCAGCACAAAGACTAACATTTGACCATGAAAAATGAACATGAAGACTCTGTATTCACTGGTGAAAGACCATTTCAAGTGAGGAAAAAGAGCATCCAAGAACTTGCCCACACTGATAACAATTTTGTGAAACCCCGATGAATCCTTTGGTTAAATTGGGGAGGAAAAATATTTTCCTCTGCCCTTTTAGGTTCAGTAGTGGGGGCCTGCAAATCAAACTAAAGACAGATTAACAGGAGGAAAAAAACAGATTTGACTATGTACATACGCATAAGAGGTAAAGAAATGTGACTCAAGGAGGCATTTCGGGTCTGAAGCTTATATACTGTTTTAACAAAGAGTGATAAATTGGAGAGAAGTCATTAGACCAGAGAAAAGGGTCTGGGCAAGGCTTCTGGAGGGGTTAAGTTGTTAGAAGATCCTAGGAAAGGTATGGTCAATAAGGATTGTTTCGCAAGTTTGTTATGCAAATTTGTTATGCATATAAGAGTCTCCTCCTCTACAAATGGAAATGTATATCACCTTAACAAAGAGAAATTTATGTCCTGCTTTTAGACAGAAAGAGAGAGGACAGAGAGCTAATTGCCTTCAGCTCAAGACAATCCTTATGCCATATTTGGGATCAATTAAAAACTAGGCAAGACTAGGAAGAGAGGTGAGTGGTTGAGTTTTAATGCTACGATTATTCTGTTTGTGATTGGGTTAATTTTTTAATCAAATGATGCGTGATCCTTATGTAAATCCTGGCAATAAAGTAAAAGTTCAAAGAAAGTTTTAAAAAATCTGTAAAATCCCACCACCCAGAAACAGCATTACTAAAATTAGAACACTCTCTTTGTTATCACGCTCTGCATAAATACCATGTTTTATTTTAGAGACACACTCTTTAATAGGGGAGATGCTGGGGGAGCTCAGTCAGGCGAGGAGCCAGCTGGGGCTCAGGGGTATTTCAGATGGATGGGCTGCCAGGAACGAGCAGCGCCAGAGGCCAGAGGTGAGGAGGCTCTCCCTGGCTGTGAACATTACAGAGATTAAGGCCTGTCTTTGCAGGATTACAGTTCCTAATTAGGAAGGGAGGTTTACAGAAGGGGGCCTTTCAGCATTCCACAGCTGGGTTGTTTGCTTTTTCTGCAATCTTTTGGAGTGCTGAAGGGCTCTCTCCCCCCTCCCCCCACCCCTCTGTTTCAAATGGAAAATGTCAAAACAGAAAGAAGCAGGTGGCTGACAAGCAAGAGTTGGGCTGCTTCTTGGTGGGCCTAACTGAGGTCTGCGAAAGAACAAAACTTCAGTGGAGTAAATGTGAAGGTGGAAGTGACTTGAACGATTCATAAATCAGGCAACATCCCATCTAGTAAATAGAGAGATGCTCCCAGCATCAGTAGGAAATGGAAGGGTTTTATGGGCAAAAGGAGTCCTAGCAAAAGAAGAGAAAGGATCACTACGGTGTCGGGTGAATTTCCCGCCAAAATATAAGATGGCGCGTTAAAATGCCTATATCTTTTGAAGTATGGGTTCGATTGAAATGAAATATTTGGTAATACGCAGTTACAATCGGCCCGAGTTTACACGTTTCCCGCACTCCACCGCAAATCTATATGAACCGAGTTTTAAGACGGCTCCCGCGGAGTACGCGCAATTCACGCGAGCCGACTTAACTCGTTTCCCGCAACCCAAGTGGGATTATGTCAGGCCCGGACTTTTTCTTTGGGGAGGGGAGAGGGGTGGAAAGGGACCAGCCGAGTTTTGTTGTGCAGATGACCTCCCTAGGGCTAATCAGGGAGTTTCAGATTGACTAAAGATTACATTTCTGGAAGAGGTTGAAGTTACAATGTTGTGAGAGTAAATGACTCCATCTTGGGCCTGTTATTCCTTTTTTTAACGGGTCACACGGGATGGCAGGGACGGGAAAGCTTGGAGCGCCTGGGAAGTCTAGGCCAGCACCCTGGGTGTATAAAAGGGGAAACTGGGGCCCAGAGCAGGAAGGGAGTGGCACGTAACAGTGTAGATTCCGGACGATAAGCTCCCACCCTTCCCCCACTGTTATGTGACCGAGGATGATCTCCATGCATTCTTAAAACATAAATCAGAGACTAAGACACTTTAATGCCATCTATAAAAATCTGTTATTCAAAAACGCAAGTCTGTTGATTAGGGTGAGATAATTCACATTACCAAAGCTTGCTTCTCCTCACAAAAGGCCTTGCCAGAGGGTTTCTTCCATGCCAGGGTTTCCTCACGGTATGTCAGTGGGTTTTGTTTTACAAAACTTCATTCTTAGGTACAGGTGTATTTCATAGCTGAGGGCCCTGAGTGCCAAACAGCTCCAGAAGGGTTTGTGTGATTGGTTGTGATGATGGGCTCCTAAGGATTTGGGAGACTGAATTTAGTGAAGCCTTAACTTGGGAAGTTAATGGCAGGAATGGCCCAGATTCGTCTCATGGGGTTCAGGAGGGGTCAGGGCTACCTAATTTGTGGGGCCCAGTACGAAATTTAAAGGTGGGGCGAGTTTTCCAAACACTAAGAATCTCCAGATAACAGTAGCAGAATATTAAACCAAGGGGGGGGGGCATCAAAGGGTGGGGCCCTGTACAACCTTGAGGCCGCCCTAGATCAGGGTGAATGGGGAGTGGATGCGTGGTGTGACAGTGAAGTCCTCAGAGGTGATCGGTGAGGCCATTGAGCCATAAAGCTGTTCTATTCTTCTTTGAGATTTTACCATCCGAATTTATCTGGAGTAAGCTATGGGTAAATGAGTCATTCCTGAGATCACAGACTGGGGAGGCAGTGGGATGAACCGTCTACAGAAGAAGGGGAACATCTGTGGTCATGGGCCCAGCACTTCCTGTAGACGAGGCCTCGTGCAGGTCCCTGCACTACCATTTCCTTCATGGTTCATGGAAAGGTTTGTATAGTTACAGGTAAGATTCAGGCTCTAGAGCCAGATGCTGTCATCAAACCCAAGTTCCTGTGCCTGATGCTTCAAATAGCAAAACTCAAAACGTCAGAGTTTGGAGTAAGGAAAGGTTTATTGATCAAGAAGGCAGCAACGGAGAAGGTGGGAGACTTAGCCATGCCTCAGAACCATCTTGCTCGGTGGACTAGGTTAAAGGTTTTTAAGGAGCCTGGGGGAACACGTGTGCGGAAGCACTGGTGGGGCAGGTGTTGATGTAAGACCTTGGAACTCGGCCGTTTATGGTGAGGGGCTTCTTCACTGCATCTCCTGGACAGCGGACCCTTTGCTCTGAAGGGTGTGGCATTCAGGTTCCGGTTACGTTCCAGTCCTTTGGTTCCGTGTGTAACTGGTGGGTGGGGGAGACTTTGGGTCCAGGTCCAGCTGGAGGTCGAAGTTCTTTTCTCTGCACGTGCTTCGGCTGCGTGACATTGGGGTTTTGGTCTGTTGTCTCTGAAAAGTAACTCACATCTTGTTAAACAGGATAGGACTGTTTTGAACTGGTTCTGCGTTTGCAACACCTGGGTTCAAATCTCACTGGCTGTGAATCCTTGGGCAAGTTACTTATTGCCCCCGCTCTGTGCCTCAGTTTCCTCATCTGTTAAACTAATGAGTTACCTGCACTATAGGGTGATGTTAAGGTTGAATGAGCTCATCTCTTTGTCCAGTGCCTGACACATACCCTAGTGAGTATTTGCTGCCGTGACGGTGATGATGGAGAAGGGGAAGGAGGGAGGGAGAAGTAGAGGCGGTGACCACTCTGAGGTTAAGTAGTAGGTTCTCCTTACAGAGGAAGAGTCTGTGACACAGAGTGCTTAGGGGGATGTCCACGGTCACCCAGGGAATGAACAGGCATGCCCTTTCCTCCACCGCGGGGCCTCTGTGGGAGCTTTCTGGTTTGGCCTAAATGCCTCAGGGCACTGAACTTGAGTGTAGATGGGTCACCAACCCCACATTGCTGATTCCATGTCCACCATCCATCTATCCACACATCCTTGCTGAGCACCATGTGTGCTGGGCCCTCTGGGTGCTGACAGGAGCAGGACAGGTGGGTGCAGTAATGGGTGCTGTCTACCATGTGACCATCGTGGGAGGGGCAGGAGCACAGGGACCTTGCAGAGGTTCTGTGGGGAGAAGTTCTGGCCTGGGCCTCGGAGAGAATAGAAGACAGGGAGGAGGTGTCCTGCTGTGCACTGTGTAAACGGAAGTAAATTCCTTCGGCCTCAGTCTCACAGGCAGGAAGTGTCCAGAGACACCCCAAAATACAGTGAGCACTGAGAAGAGGCGGGGCCACTAAAGCCTGGAGAGCCACATCCTCTCTTATTTCCCCAGGCGGGAGGAGAGGCAGGCACAAGGGCGTTTGGGGGTGCAGGGCTTTGCCAGCCCTCACCTTTGACCTCAGCTCTCACTTGGGGGGATCATCTCACCCTACTCTCCTTCTCCCCCCTCACCCCCCCCACCCCCAGTTCACCTGCTCTCCTGCTCTTCTCCCAGGGTCAGTGGACTTTCCCCCTTCATGGGTGACAACGATAACGAAACCTTGGCCAACGTTACCTCAGCCACCTGGGACTTCGACGACGAGGCCTTCGATGAGATCTCCGATGATGCCAAGGATTTTATCAGCAACTTGCTGAAGAAGGATATGAAGTAATGAGTTGAGATTTCCATCTTTTCAGCTTCCCCAGGCCCTGGACTGGTGTCTGGAGGCAGGGAGTTCCTGTGCCTGTCGTGGGTCCCTCACCTGGAGGGAGGGTGGGCGTTGTGCATGTGGGGGATGGGGAGGGAAGGGTCTTCCTAGGCCCCTGCTCCCCTGTGCCGGACACTCCACTCGGCTTGAGGAGCACCGAGACCTCACATGAAAAGCAACCCTTAGCCAGGGGTTGCAGGGAGAGTGGCTGCTTGTGCATGAAGAGTGACGGCCCCTTTTATTTTCCCTGTCTGATCGTGGTCTGGGGAAGCCCTGCTGGAACCTCGGCCCTCTTCAGGGTTGCACAGCGTGTCCTATCTGTGGGTCCTGATTGTACCTCCAGGCCATTCTGGTTTGGTGGTTTTTATATCTAAATTATTTAAGAACTCCCTGCCTGAATATGGCCAGGCACCGCTCCCACTGCCCAAAGTTATGCTGTGCTCCCAGACCACGGGGTTCAGCCCTCTCCCAGCTCCATCTCTGTCCCCATAACAGGGCAGACACTGAGGTTCCCCACCTCCACCTTCTAGGGCTGCCTGGGGCTGCCCGCGTGGTCTGTGGATGAATCTACAAAACACTTGTGAAAAGGGGGCCGCTGTGGTGTGTGCAGTTGTTTAGGAAGAGGCTGTGAGGAAAGGTCAGACATACAAGGCACTCAGTATTTCATTCAAAGACTGGAGGTTGAAGTTGCCAAGGAGGTGAGGTTGGAGGAGGCCTTGGGTGTGGCAGACAGAATTCATCGATGAGGACTCACATGGTGAGGGGAACCAGCTAAACCAAGTGAGGAAGGTGAGAGGGGCTACGTGTGTGGGGGGAGAGAGATGGCTCACCCCAGGGGAAGGGAATAGTGGGGGTTCTGTTGAGAGCAACTGGCCAGTTGGGCTCCACACCCCCTCTGTAAACAGGTGGCCAGAGGAGGCAGGGCCGAGGAAGTGTCTTTGGCAATAAGAAGCAGTTATAAGCTTGGCCCAAGAAGGGTAGTGTTGAAATAGGCGGTGTGACAGAGGATGAGAAAGGGAGGGGCAGCCCACCTCCAGGGCAGGCAGGAGGCTCTGCAATCTCAGGTGCCTGCCTGAGCAGGATTCCCCCAGAGCAAGTGGATGGTCTTACTCCCCACCCCCCACCCCACAAGCCCTGCCTGGGACAGGAGAGTGCGGTTGCTAAAGGAGCAGCGTTGGGGGGTCTCTTTTTAGCGACCTCAGGGCCGACTTCTCCAGAGGCTGTGCTCCACACTCCTTGTGAGGTCTTCACGTTTTTCTGTCTGGCCTTTGTATCAGAGCAGGCAGGCCCTGAGGAGAAGCTGCATGTTGGGAGGGGCCTAGAGTCCCTTCGGTGGGAGGGGTCCCCCCTCCCAAGGTGTCCCAGGGAGATGCACACCTCTTTCCCAATAACTGGTCCAAGGACAGCTTCACTCACTGAGGGTTTGGTAAAGGAGGTGTTATGTATATATTTTATTTTCTCATCTGACCTTGAATTTATTCAATGATCTGTGTTGGCCCCACTGTGCTCATAAAATGCCCTCACCTAAGCACTGATTTCAAATAGACCAAGACACTAGATTTCCATGAACTCTCAAACTTAGCACGTCTCTTCAACCAGAAGTCTTCACCTAGCGGTACTTTTTAAAATGTTTTCCTGTTATAAAAGAAATACATGTAAATTATAGAAAATTTGAATATAAGAAATTAAGATAATTCATAGTCCCCTTATCTAAAAATCAGTACACTTGGCTACACTTAGCAAATTTACTTATACTCGTTTTTCTACATATGTTAACATTTGGTTCTTTGGGCTTTATTAGTCCTATTACAATTAAGGTGAAATATTTCTAGATTCCCAGAGCTTTCAGAAAGAGTAAACGAGTTTCAGTGTGGTTCTAAGGTTGTCATAATGCATAGATTGTATGTAGGACATAACTCTTTGAGTTTTAACAGGAAAAAGCTGATACTCAACCTTAACATGAGACATGAGAGTTTAGGAATTCTCAGAGATTTGGGCCTAATCTCTGAGGCAGAGCGGTGGGAGGATTAGGCCTCCGTAGCCCCCAGCTCCCATGTGACCAGCAGACTGACCCCACTCTACAATGTGGTGCCAGCCATTCCCAGACACACCTGCCCTCCCGCACTTGCCCTTCCTGGACCCAAGAACAGGTCATGAGACTCCAGTTGCTTACTTGATGGTTAGGCCTTCTTTACTCTGACCTATTCTGCATCCAGTCTGTAACCCAGACCAAGAGAGGAAGACCTGGTCATGGTGGACGGACTAGGAGCAGATGCCCTGGGCTCTGCCCTGTGTGACTGGGGACAGGCGCCCTCCCATTTCTGATCTCACAGCGGTCTCTGAGTCCCCTCCTGCTTAGAAATCTTCTGATCTCCGCCTCTATCAGAAACCGCCTGGACTGCACCCAGTGCCTTCAGCATCCGTGGCTAATGAAGGACACCAAGACCATGGAGGCCAAGAAACTCTCCAAGGACCGGATGAAGAAGTACATGGCCAGAAGGAAATGGCAGGTAATGAGATGCTCACTCTGGACTGGAATGTTGCTTCTCCTATTTGCTTTTCAAGCCATCCTCATTCCCAACTTGCCCCGGCCTCACTCCAAAAATGTTTAAATCTTTTTCTGAAATAGTCTGGGACCAAAGCTGGCATTTTGTGTCCTCAGGGCTAGGGATATGCACCTTTAGGACTATTCGGCAACCATAGAAAATGTGGTCTCCTTAAAGGCAGTGTGATGGTATAAAATTTCTTTGTGATGAAGGGGGAGAGCACATGACCTACAAAGAGAGACGTGGCCCCACCCTCCAGGAATATTGTATGTTACTAGCTACGTGTCTTTAGGCAAGTGACTTACCCTTGTGGTGCCTTTGTTTTCTCATCTGTAAAGTAGGGATAATAGTGGTACCAATGTCACAGCCCTGTTATGAGAATTATATGATTCTAGAGGCCCGGTGCATGAAATTCGTGCACTCGGGGGAATGGGTTCCTCAGCCCGGCCTGCGCCTCTTGCAGTCCAGGAGTCCTTAGGGGATGTTCAACTGCTGGCTTAGGCCCTCTCCCCCTGCAGGCCTAAACCAGCAGTTGGACATCCTTAGTGCTGCCGTGGAGGCGGGAGAGGCTTCTGACACCGCCGCTGCGCTCACCAGCCCTGAGCTCGGCTCAGGGCTTCTGGCTGAGTGGCGCTCCCCCTGTGGGAGGTACACTGACCACCAGGGGGCAGCTCCTGCATTGAGCGTCTTCCCCTTGGTGGTCAGTGTGCATCATAGTGACCGGTCATTCGGCCGTTCAGTCGATTTTCATATTAGCCTTTTATTATATAGGATAATCTTCATCTGGTCTTTAGCACAGTGCCTGCTACATAGCATGTGTTCAAAAATGACACTAGTAGCTCATATGGCTCTGTGCTAGAGAACATTCAGAGCACTTTCTGTACATCAAGTCTTTTAATCCTTGATTAATGTTATCCCCACTTTTCAAGGGCAGAGAAAGGTTAGGAAAGTTGCCCAGGATCACTTAGCTAGTCAGTGGGAAAGGCAGGATTCAAACCCAGAGCCTGGCTCCAAAGCACACAGTCTTAACAACAACACAAAATTGCCTTCGATTTTAGCAGATGGATAAAACCATATCCGAAACCACAGAGAACCTATCATCATCTACTGTATTGTTTTATTCTCACTGTTAGTGTGATAAAATTCCCGGGCTACGGTAGGGGGCCTGCGTTCTATACTCATGGAACGTATAGTGTAGTGGAGGGACTGAAGCAAATAGACATAAAAGGACATAACACCCAACAAGAATTATAAACTATCGGTATAGCTCTCCATACCATATATGTGAGTACGGGCAGGAGAATGGAGCCAGCCGCTGCCCGAGCCGGAGCACAGAGGGGGTGACAGCACAGACGGAGGAGAAAGGCACAGAGGCTGAACCTCTGGGTTACGCTGACCTGAAAGGAGCCATCTGTTCCCTGGGCAGTCAGGCACCTGGGCATTTAGACCTGCCTGTGGCAGAGAAAAAGGAACCATTGTTTTAGGGGCAACTGGGACACTGGTCATCTGCTACACGGGATGACTGAACAGTTCCCTCTGAAACCACACTCCCCACAGAGGCCGGGGAGGGGCTTCAGGTGGGGGGTACAAGGGACTAGGAGCCGTGCTCCCCACAGCGGGAGTCAGTTCTTGATCCCTACGCTCACCCCACCCCCACCCCGTCTGAAGGGTTAGGTGGACCTGGCCGCCCTCAAATGCCAGGTAAGTTGAAAGACTGTGCTGCTCACCTCACCCTCTGGCGCCGTTAGCATCCAGTGAAATCGGAGCAGCACATATTCTTACAAACAAAACAAAGCAAGACGGGGCCACAAAAATCAAAGGTTGACTTTATTAATGGTCCTGTGGCCAACAGATCTCAAATAGTGGGATCTCTGGGGCAGGCAGGTGCTGGGTGGGGTGGGGCAGTCCTCAGCGGTGGCACTGGGCTCTGCCTGCCGGGCTGTGGTTAAGGGGCAGCAGCTTCGCTGCAGGCTCTCTGGGAGCAGGCGCATCTGCTGTTGACACACCCGTCCCGGGACAGGCGTGGAGAAGAGATAAGCAAATGGGAGAGGAAGCAAATGGAATTTTTTAGTCAAAGGGGTCAGGGAACCATTAATTTGCTGGTATTTTAATCACTTAAAATTTTTTTCTTGTTTACACACATCAGTTATTAGTCAGATGGTTTTCTGGAAGTGAGGGGCAGAAATTCTGGGAGAAAAGGGCAGAATTCAGAGAAGGAATTTTAAAGTCATATTTTAATATGGGTGGCAGCCTTTGGAAATGATTTTCCCACAGACACAGTGGTTAGGCTTCACAGAAGTAGACCACACAATCCCTTTTGACCCATCTTGTCCCTGAAGCATAATATCACTGGTGACAGTTCAGCTCCATCTGACCATCTTATGTTACATTGCTCTCTTAGGAAAACTTTTTCCGCATTTGTTATGTTAATTTTCACCTGAGGATATTTTTCCATTGATTTTTAGAGAGAGTAAAAGGGAAGAGGAGAGAAACATCGACATGAGAGAGACACATTGATTGGTTGCCTCCCACATGGGCCCAGACAGGGGCCTGGGATCGAGCCTGCAACTGAGGTACATGCCCTTGACCAGAATCGAACCTGGGACCCTTTAGTTCATGGGCCGACGCTCTATCCACTGAGCCAAACCAGCCAGGGCCGTGTTTCCCACATTTTTAACTCCAGGCACCAGCACCTTAGCTGTCCTGGAATAGGTTCCCCGTCAGAGCAGTGAGGTTCTGTGTGGTGGAGCAGGTGAGGTGGAGGGAAACAGAGGCGGGGTGGGCGGTGGTGGAGGGAAAGGGCAAGCCCAGAACTCTCTACAGATGCCCAAGAGAAAGGTCCTTGTTTTCATTCTCATGTGGTTTTCATAAGAGGCCCAGAAGGAAGGAAGCAACATGGAAACAGCCCTATACACTAGGCAACATGGAGATGGCTAATCATATTATTGACCTTAAAATAAAATTATTCTGAAAGAAGGTATGTTCTTCCACTTATACCTGAAAGAGTTTTTAAAAGCTATGGTGGTGAGTAGAGCCTTGAGGGTAGGCAAGTGGAACAGGATAACAGGGCTTTTGCATGCAAAACCAGAAGCAAAGGACTAGGAGTTTGGAGGCCCAGGGACAACCATCTTTACTTTCTGGGAACCACGAAGACCCCAGCAGCACGGACCACAGGGCCATCGGGAGGAAAGCCTTGGGCACAGTGCAGCACTGAGTACGCCTGGCAGTCACCTTGGATGTCATGCACGTCTCGGGAAACTCTGATCTGGGGCTGTTGGTGTATAGAGGGTCTCTGACCGCGGGCTGGCTCGTAGGTAACTAGCTTGCCCACTTGCCAGGGACTGTCGCAGCTTTAGCACTGACAGACCCTTATCCTGGAAAGCCCTCCGTCCTGGGCCCGTGGGGCTGGTTAGTCACTCTCGCGGGCTCCCAGGGGAGGGGAGCTGCTGCCTCAGAGAGGCCAGTACAGACCATGCCTGCGTGCAGCACAGGACCCAGCCTGGCCATTGCCCGCGAACAAAAAAAAGGCTTCCTCCAAACAAGGATGGAGTTTAGGGAATTGAAACGTTGCTGCCTTGATGTTCCAAAAATTTCCTAAGGTCTTGATGAAGTAAAACAGCAACCAATTTTCAACTCAAAGGTATATACAAATATAGTTCTTTTCCAGTTCTGACAAATAACTTCCTTACCAATTTTTTAAAATATGTTTTTTATTGATTTTAGAGAGAGGGGGAGGGAGGACAGAGAGATAGAAACATCCTGGAGAGAGAAACATTGATCAGCTGCCTCCTGCATGGTCCCTACTGGGGATTGAGCCCACAACTCGGGCATGTGCCCTGACCAGGAATTGAACCAGTGACCTCTTGGTTCATGGGTCGAATGCTTAACCACTGAGCCACGCTGGCCCGACCTATTTTTTCCCCCATAAATGAGTTTCCAAAGATTGAATTCTGGCATAAATTATTTAAAATTTTTTCCCTTATTAAGCATTTTTTCCCTGTTTTAGAAATTATATGTTATATCACTCCAACTGATGGAAAATTTTCCCATGTATGGTCTATTTGCTAATGTGAATTTGTCGCCTCCTCGGAAATATCGTAACTCCTTTGTTTGCCTTGTTCTGGTAACTTCATATTAGTCATGTTGTTAATAGATGAGGAAATACTTCATTATTCCACACCATGGAAGTGAAGACCATCCTGGTGTTTGGAATTAGGGAGCCCAACGGCTCAGGGGGGTGTTCCCTGCTACATATTCTCAAACATGAATCCTAGGCTTCTGTGTAAGAGTAGAGCTACAGGGAGATCTGAATCTTCTGGTTCAAGGACATGAGGCCCAGAGAAGGGAACAAACTTGCAAAAGGTCACATAGTAATCAGTGGTTCAGGAACTAACCAGTCCCTTTTTGGGAATGAACTCTCTGCATTTAGAGACTCCTGGCGAGGGCAAACCTCTCTGCATTGGATAAAGGATACAGGGAGAGGAGAAGGAAGGGCAGACTCTGAGAATTTGGCCGACTAGGAAACAGCTTGGCCTGATGTTGACTATATGGATGGCTGCCTGTCTCTCAAACGTTCCTGAGGTCAGAGTAAGCGCCCACGGGAAGAGCTGGGTCTCTCAACACTTTTGCCAGCACATCAAACAGATCAATGTGGCAGCCTCCTCCAGAAGAGCACGCGAGATTGCCAAATGGTCTCGTTCTCTGCAGGGCCACCGTGCCTCTGCACAGAGCTGTTACTCCATCATCGTCTCTCACCTGCTTCCCCCACCTATCACCTTCACCCGGGGCTTCCTGGGTTCTGTTCAGAGTGACCCAGTTTCACCACGGTGACAGAGGGCCAGAAGCACGCCAACACCAACAGTGATGTATTTGAGAGGGTGGATGGGCAGAGGACAGAGCAAGATGGTAAGATGGAATGTCTGTCCAAAGTGCATGATAACAGTCTGCAACACCAGTGGCATGTGACAACAGAAAGTGATCATGGCCATAGCCACAGGCCACTGCTTAAACCACACACACACACACACACACACACTTTTCTATATGATTCCTTAGTGGCCTGAAATTCTTTACTTTGGAAATAATCCTTTTACTGGAAGCATACTGGCTTTCCAACTAGTCCAGAGTTGTGAGGCTTTACTGAAATACCTGAATGTGTGACGGTAACTTGAGGGAAATGGCTTTGGCACAGTTTGAGGTCCAGTGGGTGAGTGGGAGCCCTTTGCTGGTGTCCTCCCTCTCTCAGCAGCCAGTCTGCGCCAACATCTGCTCTCTGGATGCACAGCATCTGGGCGCCTGAAAAGATGCTTTGGGTGGAAGCAGTTGGCTATACTTTAGTTTCTTATCTTAGTTTTCCCATTGACTTTAAAAAAAGGAGTAAGAAACTTTAATTAAAGGTAAGAAACATAGATGCATTGTATGTTATTGGGGATTTCTTTGACCTAAATCCTATGCTTGGTAGGATTTTCACACTGCAAAGAAATTTGCATCTCAAGTTCTGGCTTCCTTTTCAGCAGAAATTCTGTCTACTCCCAAGGTGCCTCGACTCAGAAAAGCAAAGTGCCGTTGCTTTGCATCTCTCCGGTGTGCTTTTTGATGCCTGGGTGTACCCCAGGGGAGAGCACCCTCCAGAACTTCACTTGCATTCATAGACTTGTGCTGAGCCAGCCAGACTGTTTCCCAAAATCTCTTAAGTATCTGGATCAGCCACAGAGCTAAGTGAGACCTTGGAGTCTTGTCCAACCCCTCCTTATGCAGAGAAGGAAACCAGCCCAGAGAGGTTAAGCGACTCACACGAGGTCAATAGTGTGCTGCTTTCCCACTTGCATGAGGACCTGTGGGATCTGTAGTAATGATCCTCTTGACCAATTGCAGTCCTGTCACTGGCATTGTTTTACGAGAAACAGCCCTGCTGCGCCTCGTCAGCAATAAGTCTTTGGAGCTGTCTCAGCCTGCAGTTGCTTTATATAAACTCTCCCTTTTATGGGAGTTGGAGCACAGTATGAAAAGGGTTTTTGTCTCATGTTGACCTTGTTTAGTCACATTAACGCACACATCGGTTCCAGGCCCCATTCCATTCTCCGAACATCTTCTGACACACTGATAGTGCTGAGCAGAGCAAGGTCGGGCGCACTTCTCTGGCAGGACCTCGGCACTCGGGAGGCCCTCATTCCACGGACGGCTGCCTCTGCTGGGCTGGGCTCTCCTCCCTGAGCCCCACTGCCCCGCAGGACCCAGAGGCACCGCCCGAGGCCAACCCCAGTGTCTGCTTTCCAGAAAACGGGCAATGCTGTGAGAGCCATTGGAAGACTGTCCTCTATGGCAATGATCTCAGGGCTCAGTGGCAGGAAGTCCTCAACAGGATCACCAACCAGCCCTCTCAACGCAGAAAAACTAGAATCGGAAGGTAAGGAGCTCCCGGGTGGTGAGGAAGGAAGGGCTGGGGGATGGAGGGGCATTTTGAGGAGTTTATTTTGGGGGTGGGCTGTTTTTTGGTAATACAGTCTACAAGGATTAAATTCAGAACTACTTTTAGGTTGCTCTGACAATAGTTACTAAGCCTAATTACTCTTTAATAGTTAAACTTGGGTTTAACTATTTTCCAAAGTAAAGTTATTATTTGTCTACTAGAACTAGATAACCTCTACTGTTCTTTTTATGTTGTACATAAGACTTAGCAAAGATTTATTCAAAGCTCCCATTTTTCTCATTACAAAAGTACTGCTTATATATTAAGCAAATATAAAACTTCAATCACATGTAGTTTACTTTTTCAAAATATCCTGTTTTTATTATTTTTAAAATATATTTTTATTTATTTCAGAGAGGAAGGGAGAGGGAGAGAGAGATAGAAATATCAATGATGAGAGAGAATCATTGATTGGCTGCCTCTTGCATGTCCCCCACTGGGGATGGAGCCCGAAACCCAGGCTTATGCCTTGACTGGTAATTGAACCATGACCTGCTGGCTCATAGGTCAATGTTCAACCACTGAGCCATGCCAGTCAGACAAAAATATTGTTTTTAGTCTGTGTTTTTCTTTGAGAGGAAAATTAATGTATAGTCCATATTCGTTTGGCATTTTTTAAAATACTAAAACGTGACTGGAAGGGCTGCTCCTAGAGATCCTCAGGGTAAGTTACTTGCCCTTGGAGACGTTGCCCCATCCATCTCCTCAGTGAATGCCTCTGCCTCTTCCTGCATCGGATTGATGCAGGGTCTGGCCCTTATCTTCTCGAGGTGCCTGCTTGGCCAGCGACACCCCTCCAGCCCCGCTGCCTGGTGCCATTGGTACCCAAAGGTGAGAAGCACAAAGGCAGGGTCATCGGCCAGGCCACCTACTGGGCTTCCTGATGTAGCTGGGGACAGAGTCCCTCCTGACCCACTCCTGCCACTCCCAGATGACCCACAACCAGCCTAAAGGGGAGGGATAGGATGCAGGAGCCCCTCCAAGTTCTAGCTTTTCCCTGGACCAACCCCAGTCCCGGTCTGCTCTCATGCACCGTGGAGCAATGTAAGTGAGGACAACAGAACTGGCAAGTGGAAGAGGCCTCAAGGACCTGGTTCCTCCCTTCTCAGGAGCAGGGAAGGCCTGCTCTGCAGGGAGACCAGGAAGGCTGGTGTGGCTCAGTCCTTCTTAGACACCCTCCACTAAATCCTGAAACAGCTTGAAATATAGCCAAAATCCTTGTTGAAGATTATTTCTTTTTTCAATGTGTCAGCGTAAGGGAAGGGGGAGTCCAAACATTTCCCCAGTTTAGTCACAGTTTTCTCTTCTGCCAAAACCACATGGCAGCTGGCCAACCTATCCCCAGGAGAAAGGTGTGCTGATGATTCAGTCCTCTAAGCTGCATTATTTGCTAAATTGGAGCTACTTTTTTAAAAAATTTAAAGTCAGCTTTTTTAAACTAAGGGAGAGGAAAGAACAAGGAGTGAAGGGGTGACCATGTCCTCTCCCCGTCTTCTAGGAGATGTCGCCCAAGCTTTCCTGGAGGCTGTTGCTGAGGAAAAGCCCCATGTAAACCCTATTTCTCTAAGACCATTCGTGATTTAGAAGTGGTGGAGGGAAGTGCTGCTAGATTTGACTGCAAGATTGAAGGTAAGTTGTAGCTGTGACTACTAAAGGGGTTTGGGGGCTGCTGGGCCCCTACTGTGTGCCCTGGGCACGATGTCAGTTCTGGGAGCCATTGGGTAAGCCAGGCTCTGAGGGAAACTGGGTCAGGAGGAGCTGGCCCAATGCCCCCACTCCACCCTGAAGGTTAGTGCCGTCAGTGACTTACCAGGGGCAGATTTGACATTTTACTTACTTCCATCAGCCACTAGACCTGAGTTAAAGTGATTTGTCGTGGACGATAGTATGTGACCATGGAGCCTGCTTAATGAAATGAAGTTTCAAGTTCCTGGGGAGCATGTGCCCCTAAAGGCTCTCAGAGGGAGGCTGGCCCGGAGCACGGGCTGTGGAGTCAGCAGCTCTGCTATGAGGCCTGGGCAATGATCTGACTCTCTGAGCCTCAGGCCCTCACCTCTAAGATGACGTCTGATGTCCTGAGTGGCTCTGGGGATTCTTAGATGATATGTGAAAAGAGAAACCTTTTAAGTCCTTTAAGGATGTGACGGAGTCAAGGGAAAAGTTGTGGGACTGATAAGAGCAGAGAGCATGCAGTGTGACTTCAAACGGAGGGAAACTGGGATCCAGACACCGGTGCCGTCTTCCCCATGCGTCGCTGCTGGCAGGACAATGTGGCCATAGAATCGTGAGCTGTTGGAGCTCAAGGGACCTTAAGGGATCTTAGCATAGCACACGAGAAATTAGCAATGGTGGTGACACAAAGCATTTCAGTTTCCATAGACTGCAACATCCTAGAAAGATAAAGGGCAAGATAAGATTGGCTTCAAGTCAGTGACTGTCATGTGCCAACCAGAGTGGAGGGTTATCTTCCATGTCAGTCTGACCAAATGAAGCACAGGTGTTCATCAAGCAACTTGCTCAAGACCTCACTGCCAAGGACAGCAGTCAGAACAAAGCATTTTGTAAGATTCTCCAGCAATATGGCCACATAATGTCTTTTGGATAAAGTAACCCAAAGTTAGGAATGAAAAAACAATTTTTCACCTGTGTCGTTGTAGTATCAGAATGCCTTGTAAATGCCTTGCCCACCATAATCTTGCTTTTCGTTCAATTCTTAAAGTGTGATGTGCTGCCTTTGCTAGTGTGGAAAGGCTCAGGTTGGGGTTCTGCTGAAAGCTCTGGGGCCACAGCCTGTGACTCACCATCACCATTGTCGTTGGGTCTTCCGAAGTTCTTTCCTTTCTTCTTTTTCTTTTTATATATACTTATTAATTTCAGAGAGGAAGGGAGAGGGAGAGGGAGATAGAAATATCAATGACTAGAGAGAATCATTGATCAGCTGCCTCTTGCACGCCCACACTGGGGATTGAGCCCGAAACCAGGGCATGTGCCCTGACCGGGAATCGAACCCTGGCCTCCTGGTTCATAGGTTGACGCTCAACCACTGAGCCACTCTGGCAGGGCTCCTTTTTCCATTTCAAAAAATTATTAGAACATAATGACAGTCATCTTTGCACTTTTCTGTTTGGAATTATTTCTTTGGTTTTTGCATAACTTTGGAGCACTGAGGGGAAATTAAAGCATATGGATGCTGTTTTAATTGAAATAAAATTCTACTTGAATGTTAGTTCTTAAGTTCTAATATAGAATTTTTATTCTGGTTGTGGTTACAATTTTTTTCCTATAAAAGTACTTCTTCAAAATTTAAGAACAAGAAGAGGTAATGGGGAGGGGGGAAGGGGGGGACTTATTAATACTCTCAACAATAAAGATTTTAAAAATAATTTAAGAACAAGTCAGTTAGAATTATAATATACAGGGTGTGGCAAAAGTAGATTTACAGTTGCATGTGAAATGCAGTTTATTCTTGTATCATTATTTATTATTATTTTCCATATGAACAACCACAACTGTAAACCTATTTTTGCTCCATCCTGTATTTTAAAGGCATAATGTGTGTGTGTGTGTGTATTTTTTTTTAATGTTGGACTTTGCAGAAACATGGTTAATTCATAAAATGAGGCTAATCAATGTGATCCATTTCCAGTTATCTAGAGGCAGATTATGACTTTGGATCAGACTAAGACAAATACTGCTTTCTTTTTCTTAGCAGTATTAGCAGCTCCTCTAACTTGCATTTTATAGAGCTGTTATCAGCTTTGAGTTATAACTTAACACACCATATAGTTTACCTATATTAAGTATACAATTCAATTGTTTTTAGTGAATTTACAGAATTGTGCAATCATCACCACAGTCCAATTTTAGAGCCTTTCCCTCACCCCCAAAAGGTCCCTTGCACCCATTTGTTCTGAATCTTCATTTTTATTAAATGTATTTAAGTTCAACTTTTATACAAGATGAAAAATTTTCATTTCATCCCAGAAGATAACTGGCTCTGGGCGTGTCACTGGAGGTGGGCTGGTGTTCCAGGTAGCACTCTGCGTGTGTGTGTGTGTGTGTGTGTGTGTGTGTGTGTGTGTGGCGGGTGGGGGGGAGGGGGCAGGCCCCACATGGATGGGAAAGGGGATGACTGTGAAACACCTCACGCAGGGTTTTATATATTAGTATTTACAATACAGTTCGGTTCAAACGTCAATATCAAAGCAGCTGCTAAAAGGCAATGTCGTCGTTTTTTTCCGTTACTGCATTAGTAGCTTGAGAGTTCCTTGCATGAACTGATACGAAATTTTGAATGACAGTTTTTGCTACCTGTGTTCCCTCCCTGTGATGCAGGATACCCAGACCCTGAGGTCGTCTGGTTCAAAGACGACCAGTCCATCAGGGAGTCCCGCCACTTCCAGATAGACTACGATGAGGATGGGAACTGCTCTTTAATCATTAGCGATGTGTGCGGGGATGACGATGCCAAGTACACCTGCAAGGCTGTCAACAGTCTCGGAGAAGCCACCTGCACAGCGGAACTCATTGTGGAAACCATGGAGGAAGGAGAAGGAGAAGGGGAAGAGGAAGAAGAGGAAGAGTGAAACAAAGCCAGAGAGAAGCAGTTTCTAAGTCTTAGTACAAAAACTATTTCTCTAATGCTCAAAACCCCAAGATAGTAAAAGCACCTAGTGTGATAGATTACCTAGTTAGGTCATTTTAGGGTCAGTTCTTAGCAACAGCAGTTCGTACCTAGCAGTGTTATTGATGGGCATTAATTTCAGTTAGCAGGCACCTTAAGATACTAGTACATCTAGATTTCATTTTGAGAAATCACCAGTAACTTGGCCGACCAGTTGATTTTAAAGATAAAGTAACAAAAAGAAGTATTTTTCTGGGCAAAGTCACAAATTTGAAACACTCATAAAAAATAAAGCCCCGCGGCCCCGGGTCAGCCCAGAGGCCCCTGGAGACGGGGGTCTCTCTCCCAGCTCCGAACTCCAGAGAACTGGGTCTCCCCCAGGCTGCAGCCCTTCGGTCTGAAAGCAGTTGAGCCGTTTTAACTTACAAGGCACATTTTACTCCAAACTATACTGTAGACATTCAGACTTTTCATTCCCCCTCTGCCTGCCCGTTTTTCTGGATCTGAGCTTGCCATGAGTTTAAGCACTAAGGACATTACACTTAGATTCTGAAGACAGGTCCCCTGCTCACAGAAGGCTGGCTTCCTTAGGAAAATAAAACCTCCTTCTAAAATCAGTAGGCAATCTAAACTTATCCCCTCTTTGCAGGTATCTAGCAGCTTCAGACATTTTTATAAGAACTCGTGGGGGAAAATATCCTTGCTAATGTGCTTTTCTTCTGAAACCAGGAGTCATATTTGTGCTGTTAGAGACTATCAGCTCTGCATGTGTGGTAAAGATGTTTGTGTTTGTATGAAAACCAGTTTGCTGAAAAGTTAGTCTTATTTATTGGCCACCATGAAACATTTCAGCTGATGAAGAGCTATAGAACTCTACATACTCTGGAGTCTCCTTCAGGATAGTCTGAGTTTGACACACCTTCATTCTAAACACCCTCAGAGAACTCTACCTACCCTATAGATTCCACGATGTGTTTTTTTTTCTTGAATGTGCATCAAACATGCCTTGCTCCCAACCTCAAAATATATTCTCAGACCCAATAAATGCATCAGACGTGCATCTTTAGGAACTTTTAACTTTCTTTCACTACATTGGCACTTAAATTTTTCTTTATAAAACTTTTTGAAGGTCTTAAACAAAGACCATAAACTGATATGCCTAATACATTTTCTCTGTGTGTGTGTGTGTGTGTGTGTAACATTCCAAATGTTTTATTCTTGTCCACTGTTTGTAAAGTGCAGCGATTTAATATTTCAAGGGACTTTTTAATAGTTCAAGAATCGATCTTAATTCAGTGCAATCATACACGGTATCAACATTAGAATTTTGCTATTACTTAGTCTTATGTTATCCTCCATTCTATCTTATCTGCTTTTTGCTGCTAATTTCAAATTGTCAGTATTTTCCTTTTTGCTTTTTAAACAGTTACAATATTTTTCATAATAGCCACACTTTTGCCACAGTTTATTATAACAAAGGGTTTTTAATTTGATTTAGAGTATTCAGAGCTTGTCTTCATCACTTTGTGTTTAGACTATAATCTTGGTGTGTGTGTGTTGTATGTGTGTGTGCATGTGTGGTGTGTACGTTTGTTTACAGGTTTTTGATGCCTTCTTGAAATTGTGTTAATGTTCTCCCAGTTTATTATGCCATCAGAATGGTAAATGAGAACACTACAACTGTAGTTAGCTCACAATTTTTAAATAAAGGATACCACAATGCATACTTTTTGTTCAGTCTTTGCAGCCTTCTCTTTCTTCCCATGCCACCAGTTGTAGACTACCCAGATAGACCCTGGAAACGGAAAATAGATGTTGTGCTGCATAAATGGCAATTCTGGTTGCATTTCAATAAGGAGCAGGATGACTTAGTTAGTTCTTGTATATACTAGGTAGCCTAATTTGCACACTTAGTTCAGAATTTCTCTCGAGCATCAGTTTGGTTCAGTTACACTTCCGATATCTATAGTGTCCTCATAGTACTAAAATCTACATGACATTTCCAGCATGTGGCAAAATCATCCTCATCATTAATATTATTTACCAGGGCTTGGTTTGCATTTGTAACTTTGATGCAACTCATTATTAGCTGCCAAGTGCCATCTTTCCATGTCTTGATATTGAACTATTTGTTACCAGGATACTGTCCTCCTGCTTTATAGGAAGTCTGTTATCAGATATCAGATGGTGACTTCCCCATGTCTGGAGATCCAAACAATATTGTAAATGTTATAGAAAGAATCAAGACATGCCATTAAATTTTGTACTAGATAATTCTATGATCCCACATGGTCTGGAAAGAAACAATCCATTCATCCAGTTTTTTGGTTTTTCTTTTCATTTTTAAGGCAACCACAATCTGCCAAAATTCCTAGTGAGAAAATTATTTTTTAAAGGACTTTTTATTGCTTGCTGGTGAAAAATGTATCATATATATTCTGTACTATGAAAAAAAATCACAAATACACTTTCTTCTGTTCCATTTTCATCCCAAACATATAAAGAATAATCCACAGATTGTTCCTTACATTGCAGAGCTTCATGTCAAATGATATTTCTATGTATAACTAAAAAGACATGCTGACTGTTGTCAGTTTGAACTTATACAAAGTCTCTTTTTCTTTTTCTCAAAATTTTTGAGTTTTACTTTTCACATTTTACCAGCTTTTTATAAATCTCTGCAGTGAGTATCCAGAATGTGAAAGATAATTAAATTCTAAAGAAACTCAACTCTCTTCTTTTCAAGAAAACGCAAGTAATACTACTTTCCTTACCCCTTGGGAACTCTTTTCTGTATTTTAAGAGGGAGGCTAATGTCTGTAGCAGTCATTACTGAGGCTCTTTGCCCTGGCACAGTTAGGACTGCACTCCTGCTCCTAGCTCACTGGGGCCCTGTGACTGGTCCTGGTCAGTGAGCTGTGAGCAGAAGTGATGTGCATCCCCATGGGCCAGAGCATTTGTGTCCTGGTACAGAACTCTCCACAATGACTGCCAACATGTGAGATGTGGCTGCTTTACCCACCTGGCTCCCCAGGCAACTCCAAACAGGTACAGAACACAAACAAGAAGTAAACATTTATTCTTATAAATCACAAAGAATCTAGGGTTCTCTGTGGCTGCAGCAGAATCTAGACTATGCTGTTATAAGATCTTTCACTGTATCCCAGGTCTGTTCTGACCAATATGGTAACCATGAATCACAAGTGGCTAATTAAAATAAATAAAATCTAAAATTCAGTTCCTCAGTTGTACTAGCCACATTCCAAGTTTTCAGTAGTCATATGTGACTGACTTGTGGCTACCTTCTTGGACAGCACAGATTAGAACTTTCTGTACAGTTCCATTGGACAGCACTATTCTAGATAGACTGAGGAAAAGAAAAAACTCCAAATTTTACCTTAACTGTACATATCACTTTTCAAATTACTGTGAAGGGGAGTATGGTCTATAGCAGCCGTGGGCAAACTACGGCCCGCGGGCCGGATCCAGCCCGTTTGAAATGAATAAAACTAAAAAAAAAAAAAAGACCGTACCCTTTTATGTAATGATGTTTACTTTGAATTTATATTAGTTCACACAAACACTCCATCCAAGCTTTTGTTCCGGCCTCTGGTCCAGTTTAAGAACCCATTGTGGCCCTCGAGTCAAAAAGTTTGCCCACCCCTGGTCTATAGCATCATCAATTATATTGAATAATGTAAACTCAATACTTAGGTTATTGTTCTTCATTAATTATATTCATACTAGGGGCCCAGTGCATGAATTCGTGCACCTTGAAAGGAACTGTGGGCCTTGAGGCTACAGTGGACATAAGGGCGGGTCTCGGCCCATCCTCTGTGGCCCCACCTGGCCCCTCCCTCCTCGGCCCCTGGTCCTGTCTGCCGCAGCCCCACTCCCGCTGCAGCCCACTCCCATGCGCTGACAGCACCTGCCCCACTCGCACCCACTGATGGCGCTGAGCAATTGGGCCCAGCACCGGGCACCAGCAGCAGGTGTGAGTGGGGTTGTCGCTGGCAGCGGATGCAAAAGGCGGCTGCCCACCCAAATCGCCCCTCAGGAGCAGGGAGAGGTGGAGAAGCCCTCAGGGGCGATCAGGGCCGGCAGCCACCGCTTGCACCCACTGACGGCACCAAGTGATCAGGGACGGCGCGGGCAGTGGGTGCAAGCAGCAGCTCTGGTGCCGGCAGTGGGTGCAAGTGCTGGGTGGGACCGTAGTGCACAGGAGCAAAGAATTTTCAGTAACCACCAGAGGCTTGCCCCAGTGACAGCAACCAGTGCCCCACCTTGGTCAGGTGCCCCCGCTCACCTGCTCCACCATCCCGCCACGGTCCCTTGGTGGTCAGCACACATCATAGCGACCGGTTGTTCCACTGTTCAGTCTATTTGCATATTAGGGTTTTATATATATACATTTTTTCACTTTTTAAGAAAATTTTAAACTACCAGTTCTGTGCTTCTCACCACAAAATCTAAATAGGCCTGCAATCCATAAGCAGTTACCAGATAACCTGTGATATGAAACAACCACCTAGGCCAAAAATCTCCTGTGTGTTTGGAACTTGGAGCTACTTGAGATAGGGGAGCACCCAGTGGGGACAGATGAGATAGATGCAGAGAAGGAGAGAGACAGGGTCACTGGGACAGAATTTCCTTGACAGTGAACCAAAAGGAAGGGGAGGGGCCATCCTTGAAGCAACAATCATTTTAACTTCAGTGGCTTTGATCATAACTTCCTTCCCATTGGAATTGGAAATATCCAGGAGATCTATAGTGCTTGGAGACAACATTAAATTTCTAACTGCTGGTTGTTTGAAATTTTAGCCCATAGTCCTTGCCCATGTTCTAACTGCTCACACATCGCAGGGAGGGCTTCATGTCAGAGACTATAGCCCCAATAGTGACCGCACAGAAGTGTATAATAAATCCTCATATCATCTGTCTCTCTGGGACTAGATTTCTTCCAGTTGGATATAACTAAGAAAGAAGGAGGTTACAAATTAACCTGTCACTTTGGTCATTCACATTTATTAGCTGCTTCTGGGCAGACATATGTAGCCACCAATAGTCAAGACATCGGTTGAGCGATAGGGCTTTTCCACAGCCTTGCTCCAGATGCTATGTTACAGTGAAAAATAGCCTCAGGCCAAATTCATCAAACATTAGCAAGCAGTCATATAACCTATTTGGTAAGGTCCCTGAAGCCCCAGATCTCTCTCTCCAGAAAGCTCTTCACCTGTTCATTGAAGGCAAATGCTGCAAGATACTAGGGTAGGATCTAGCTAACCTGGTTAATCAGCCAAGGAGAATCAGTTCCAATTGTACCTCTTACTGGAACTGTGTAGCCTGTGCCTCAGTTTTCTCAGCATAAAATTAGAGTAACAAATAGTTCCCACCTGACAGGTTGTTATAAAAATTAAATGAGCTCGTGCATGCTACCTCATCCTTATGGAAAGCCCCTATTCATTCTGGTACCCAGAGATGCTAAGATAAGTCAAAGATCCTCTGATAATGCTCAAGGAACTGGTTATACTTCTGCAGAAATAAAACAGATATGTGAAAAAGATACTTTCATATAATGAATGATGGAAAGAATACTTTAAATTCCACCCCCCCCCCCAAATAAATGACTTTTGAAACAAAGTGCCCATGCAACTGCACAAAAAATAATTGCTATGAGTTTAGGAAAGGCTACAACTGCCCTCTTGTTCTAATGGGAATTTTTAACTCCCAGCTCTTAAGTACTCTTCATCAGACCCAAAGGAAATAGCTCATCTGACCTTATGAGTCTTATTTTCCAGTCAAGAGGAAATTTTTCAGGTAAGCTTGACTTTAAACTAATCGCACTTAGTCTTTACCCCCCAAAGTTCACTGGTTTTTAATTGATATTTACAAAAGCTAATTCACATTGGCTTCTTTCTGACTGCATATTAACCACAGATCAAAGAGAGCTCTGCTATACAGTCTCAGGAAAAGGCGGATAGATACCATTTTTTAAATCGTCTAGAAAGCTCAAAAATGGAGGGTCCTGTTTTCTAGAGAACCAGATCAAGAGTTTAGAGAATGGCAAGTTATCAGAGAGAGAGAAGGCCAAACATGAACTACTGAAGACAAGCAGTATCTCTGTTCCCTTTAGATCCTCCATTAAATGGAGAGTAAGGGAATAATATTTTTTAAAGCTATAAACCCTTCAAAGACAATATGAGAGGACATGAAAAATATCAGAAGCTTGGAAGATGGAAAGCAAATAGGTGAGTGGGTAACTGAGTTAAGAGCAGAGAAGCTGAAAGCTGACTTCCTACAAAGGAGGAAGCCAATAGGAAGGCAAGTCAGTTTTGCCCTAAAGAAGAGACTGGAGAAACCAGGTACCTCTCAAGGGAGCCTCAAAGGGAATGTAAGGTATCAATTCACTGATGCAAACCAAGATCTTTTTATTTTCTTTTTAAAATATATTTTTATTGATTTCAGAGAGGAAGGGAGAGGGGAAAAAGAGAGAAGCATTGATTGGCTGCCTCCTGTACACCCCCTACTGGGGGGTCAAGCCCACAACCCGGGCATGTGCCCTTGATTGGAATCGAACCCAGGACCCTTCAGTCCGCAGGCTGACGCTCTGTCCACTGAGCCAAACCAGCTAGGGCTCAAACCAAGATCTTTAAGGTCAAATCAGGTCAAACATCCAACTAGGAGCTCAAGGCAGAGGTAGGATAGGACAATTAGGAGTTAGGACAGATAAGGGTCCATAGTCCAGGAGGTCATCTGAACACATCAGTAATATCCACGGTCAAAGTGCAGAGAACTGCCTGATACCAGAAAAGCATTTGTTTGTTCGAGTTTTTAAAGACAGATAAGCTTCTTTAAAGTTCAATTGGTTATCCAAGGAGCCAAATTGTTCGACTTTTAATAATGCACCCTCTTTATGAATGTCTTGTATTCAATTAAAGCATAAGCTCAGTAAATCTCCATTTAAGTCAACTTGCCCCACTTAACCAGTTTTCATTTCCTCTGTAAAATAAATTAACTGATGCCCACACACTTCTGTTCCCATTAACTGAGTTGTGTATTTACCAAGCAAGTGTCAATTGGGTTTGTTCTTAAATTTATTTATGCTAGTTCTACTTGTAATTGTAATTATATAATTTAACTAAGTATTATATAAACCAACAAAAATGGGTGCCAAAAAGAAAAGACTAGTTGTTTCTATGGAAACAATTGAGACTAGTGGTCATACATGGCAGATTGGACACTTGCATTTATCTCCTGTCTCCCAAAACCTCACTAAAATGAAACTAAAGGAACAAAAGGCATAAACCCACAAGAGCACAGAATGAGAGAGCCAGACAAAAGTTGACAACAGAATAATTGGTAATTAATTTTGTTTAAATTTTTCCACTTTGCAAATGTCCACAGAGAAGAAAGCCTCAAAAAGCAGGCTGAGTCCTATCACAGAACTAGCCAAAAGTAGAGGAATTAGGCCAACCCCCCTCCACCTTCTCCTCTAGCCCACGTGGCCTCTGACAGTCCCTCTCCAGCCTGGCAGAAAAGGGGATCTCTTAAAATTACACCGGAGAGGCGGTGGACTGGTGGACAACAGGCACAACCGAGGGTGGGAGATGCGGGGGCTGGGGGAGCTACAGAAAGAGCCTTGAGACTCCAGTCCTCTCCCACTGCGTGGCTGCCAGAACTCTGACTGCCAGGCAGGACCGGCTACAGAACTTGCAGGGCCAGTGCAAAATGAAAATGTGGGGCTTCTTGTTTTATTTATTTTTATTTTATTTTATTTTTTAAATATGGAACACTTCACAACTTTGCGTGGCATCCTTGCACAGGGGCCATGCTGATCTTCTCTGTATCCTTCCAATTTTAGTATATGTGCTGCCAAAGCGAGCACGGAGCTTCTTGTTTTAAAAAGTATTAAAAATTTTAGGATAGCCCTGACCGGTTTGGCTCAGTGGATGGAGCGTCGGCCTGCGGACTGAAGGGTCCCGGGTTCGATTCCAGTCAAGGGCATGTACGTTGGTTGCGGGCACATCCCCAGTGGGGGGTGTGCAGGAGGCAGCTGGTCAATGTTTCTCTCTCATCGATGTTTCTAACTCTCTATCCCTCTCCCTTCCTCTCTGTAAAAAAATCAATAAAATATATTTTTTTAAAAATTTTAAGATAGTGACAGCAGAGCATTACAACAAATGTGAGTTCTAAGTGCGACTATACAAGTTATGCACCCGTGAAGCCACCCCTGTAGCTGCAGATTATTTCTGCATGTGCAGGAGATTGGAGAATTTTTTTTTCTGGGAAAATTAGACAGCCCAGAGAAATGACTCACATATGCAGGAATTTCTCAATAAAACAATCTGACTCTTATAAACTTGTCAATAAGGCTATTTTATGCATTTGGGCGCAATTTTGTGCACATAAAAGATTATTCAGAAACTACTCTGGTTTTTTAAAATTACTATTTTACCTGTTAATGTTGCAAATTTTAAAGCCTAGTTCTTAAACTTTTAAATTCAATTCCCGGATCTGATTTGGTAGATTTATAAATCTACCAAGATGTAATATTCATTTTTTTACTCTAAACATTTTTAAGTTGCCTTCATAAATGTAATAAACACATTTCATTTTCATTCCTTCAATTATAACAAAACTTTCCAAGAAAAGTGACTAGCAAATACCTTCTCAAGTAAAATAAGTCTCATAATGAAATGTATAAACATGATGGAACTTAACTTCTTTTTAATGGTCCAATACTGTTTATAAATTTAGTAAGAGTTAAACTTTGAATTCCAAGTCTAAATCAGTTACACAATATATACATTTTTATTTTTTCAAATTATAAGAGAAAGTTTGCTTGGAAAGTCACGGAAATAGAAAAGGGGAGCCTGTACTCAGGAAAGGAGTCACAGAGGCACTTAGGAAACTTGGAACTTAGGAAAGAGAGGCAGACAAGGGTGCCTGAGGGAAGGAGAGGAGAAAAGTACGAGCAAGAGAGAGAGAGAGAGAGAGAGGGAGAGAGAGAGAGAGAGAGAGAGAGAATGTGCCACAATTTGTACTTTAAATTGGAATTACAAATTAATCTGTTCTCTGGTATACCTAAATCTCTTAAACATTAGAAATATGGATAATATCAAATAGTTATAACCCACATAAATAAAAGCTCTTGTATGGCCAGTTTTGCTCAGTGTTTTGAGTGCCAGCCTGTGGCTGAAGGGTCATTGGTTCCATTCTGGTCAAGGGCATGTATCGGTTGCAAGTTCAATCCCGGCACCCCAGGGACAGGAGACAACCAATCGATGTGACTCTCTCACATTGATGTTTCTCTCTCTCTCTCTCCACCTCCCTCCAAAAAGCAATGGGAAATATCATTGAGTGAGAATTAACAAAAATAAGTAAGTAAGTAAGTAAGTAAATAAATAAATAAATAAATAAATAAGAAAAGCTCTTTATAGTCCTCAATACAATACTTTTTAAGAGTATGAGAACCACTATTCTAGGTAACCATTTAATCCTAAATATAACTGGACAGCGGACTTTAGTTTGAAAATCCCCGGAAGCATCCAAAATGTAACCCATATTACTATTGTCTCCTCTTTCTTTTCTTTGAGCTTCCAGAAATTCCATTCATACAAAAATATCAGAGAATTTACTGATTTTGTAAGGAAGGTAAATAAGGGAGTTTATATTGATCAGCATTTCACTTGAAAAATCCTCCCAGACCTGTCTCTTCTCCTAGGTCTCTTCTCTTTACTCCCCCTATGCTTTCTTTCTCTTTCTCTCACCCTCTTGCCTCCCCACTTTTTAGGGCTGTTTAAGTATATCCAAGATGGGGGGGGGGGTAGAATCACTGATAACTATTCCCACTAGAAGACAGAAAGGGATTCTATATTTGATAAAGTTAAAAAAAAATTTACTCACAAAACCACTCATAGGAGAAAAAGAAAAATACATATAGGCAAAAAGAAAATTAATAAAAAAGAAAAACCTGATGCTCTTACTCAACCAAAGATAAACACTAATAATATAAAACCCCTTCCAGATTTTCTTTTCACTGTAGTTAAACACACGCATACCTAACTATTATAAAATCAAGGTCTTACTACACACCATGAATAATCCACTCTTCTACTTAATATATTCTAAACAATTTCCATGTCTAATACATCTCTGGATAATTGTTTCCCCATTTTTTTATTTAAAATTTTTTCAAACTTAGGGCAAGTTTGATAGAACAGTTCAATAAAGACCCTTAAACCCTTCGTATAGAACTACTATTGGGAGATGATTCCCTCTGAACATCTTTCCACACAGTTCAGGTCTCTGATCGAAAGCATTTAAAACCAATTCAAGAATGTTTGTATAAGGAGTTGAAGGGGATCGGAATGTGCCACCCCAAAATATGCCACTTTGGCATAAGGACTATTTTAAGCTGAAGGCAACTGAGAAATAGCAGATGCAGAAAAAGCTCTCTCTCCTCCCCCTATTTGCCTAAAAGCAGGACATAAATTTCCCTTTTGGTTCCCCATCTCTCTCTCATACCAGGAAGAACAGAACAACTTGTAATCACCAGATATGATGCTAAACTTCCCAGCCCAGAGAGGCCACCCAGACATCACAAACTTTACTGAAAATAACCCTTATCTTCCATTAGTTTTCTCCATATATTTACCTTCCCACAATTTACTACCCGTAAAAACCTAAACCCCCTTTCCTTTGTCTTGTCATTTCCCGACAAATGTATTGCTCTTTGTTAAAATGATATACAAGCCTCTGGGTATAACCACCTCTTTGGAGCTTTCCCTTCATTTCTGTGACTCTCTTGTCCCCCCAGAATGCATATGAACTAAAACTTACTCTCCTATTAATCTCTGCTTTGTTATTTCAATTTGCACGGCTCCAGCTACCAAAGAAAATAGAGGAAAAGGTTTTTTCCTACCCTACAGAGCTATTCCAGTGTAGTAAAGCTTAGACATATTTCCCTCCTTGGAGATGTCCAAAATAATAAAGATCCCCCCACTTCCTTTCCTGGAGAGGGCTTGCTTACATCTATATATATAAAACCCTAAGCGACTGTTCGACCATTTGACCAATCACTATGACATGCACTGACCACCAGGGGGCAGACGCTCAATGCAGGAGCTGTCCCCTGGTGGTCAGTGCTCTCCCACAGTGGGAGCACTGCTCAGCTGACCAATGGGCGCCAGATACCGGGCTCACAGCTGGCAAGTGCCACTGTGGCGGTGCGAGCCTCTCCTGCCTCCACCGCAGTGCTACTGAGCAGCTGCAGCAGGCACAGCAGGGCGGGATGAGCAGAAGCAGTGCGGCACCCAGCCAGGGCTCGGGCTCCTACCCAGCTGCCTGCCACTTTGCGCACTACTACATCCCTAAAGGTGTCCCGGATTGCGAGAGGGCGCAGGCCAGGCTGAGGGACCCCACCGGTGCACAAATCCATGCACCGGGCCTCTAGTTGTAGAATAAAGGGAGGATAGACAATTACTAACAGTCATATATAAGATCAAAGTTTCCTAATTTCAGGGTTCCTCTGTTGTAATGTAACCCACCTGCTTTATTTCCTGTGTATGGGGCTTAGAAACCAACATAAGATGTTGCTCTAGTAGCTGCTTTTGCCATGACCCAGACTTACACACACACATACACACACACAAAATTCACGAGACAAAATTTTTTTTTAAAATATATTTTATTGATTTTTTACAGAGAGGAAGGGAGAGAGATAGTTAGAAACATCGATGAGAGAGAAACATTAATCAGCTGCCTCCTGCACATCTCCCACTGGGGATGTGCCCGCAACCCAGGTACATGCCCTTGACCAGAATCGAACCTGGGACCTTTCAGTCCGCAGGCCGACGCTCTATCCACTGAGCCAAACCAGTTTCGGCGACGAGACAAAATTTGCAAAGTGCACCCTGAAGGCTCTAGCAGTGCCCTGCTTCCCTTCCTGAGAAACTCCACACTCCACCCACCTCAATCAGCCCTGGCCTGAGCTCATCCATCTCCCACGATGTTCAAAAGAAGAGAACAGTTCCTGATTGAGAGGCTTGGGTGGAGAAGCCAGCTCCCCCATTACAGGGAGCTGGCACTTGGGTGGGATGGAGAGAACACCCCGAGGCTATTCTTCAGAAGGAAGGCTACAAGAATTGGCAGCTATGGTCTCCAGGGACAAAAATCTGGACCCTGCTGCCAAAAAAATGTGTGTTTGTGTGTGGGGAGGGGGGAGGATGGGGGAGGCTAACTTGTTACCTGCAAGTAAAGTAAAAATCTCAGACCTTTCATAGTTTCTAACTTAATCACGTCATTTTGCCACATTTGCTCTTTGTTCACAATTTCTCCCTTATTCTTGTGTTGTCTATTACACACACATACATTCTTGCTGAATCATTTGAAAGTTTATGCAAAATCATTTTTTCTGAATAGTATCCTATTTTAAGCCTTATCATAATTTAACCTGTCTGTACTACTACTCAACATTTAGATTGTTTCCAACAGTTTGATATTATAACAAACTGTGATGAGGTTTTATATTAAATACTAGGGGCCCGGTGCACAAAAATTTGTGCACTGGGGAGGGGGTTCCCTCAGCCCAGCTTGCCCCCTATTACATACTGGGAGTTCTAGGGGATGTCCTACTACCTGCTCCCTGCTCCCCTTGGGGAGTGGGCCTAAGCCACAGTCTGGCCTCCCTTTGTGGGAGTCAACCGGGCTGATCAGGGGAAGGCACCAGCCCCATCACTGCACTGTTGCAGCCACTGCCAGTCACCGCAGCCACCAAGGTGTTTTCATCAACACGGACTCCAGTCCCTTTACCATGAAAAAATGACAACTTTCTTTAGGCATTTTCAAGAAGTGTCTTTCATAGGATATGACATTTCTTTCTTT